AGCCGAGGAGCGAGGTGATGGAGTTACACGTCGGTATGTACAGAATACAAGTCGTCAGTGTACTTATATGGTGGCTCCCTGTTCAACACAACTACGCTAATTTCGGTAAACAGGAAATTTTAAATTTATGATCAATTTAGAATCAGGCCGTGTGTGTAGTTTTTGTCCTCATAATGAAAGTGATATTAACAACTCTACAGAGTGAGGGAGATGCGTCACCTGAAGACGTAGTGGTAGTGAAGGTTATATGCTGGCGAGAGATAATGAGGTGTTTGCTGGCTAAACTCCACCTGTGGTGTTCTTTGCTGAATCACCACAAAAAATAGACCAACTATTTCGTAAGGTTTTTGTTTTTAGCTCATATCAGTTGGGGGGCCTTGACGCGAGACAGGTTGTGGTCGTGCTTTCAGGGAACAATTTAATCTACTTAAAACTCTCACTAGTTTGATGACCGACCGCAACCTCTGTGCTGTTTATTCAGACACTCGTGCCACTACACAGAAATTACTATGCATAGACTCACACCCGCACAAATATACTCACCCCCATACACACTCATTCACACATCTACATATATACACTCACGCCAATATACATACACTCACACCACTACACCGCAAACATGGCATCTCCGAGTTTAAGATAGCTAACAACACCACCACTATGTTTCCTCTTGGTGTCTCCATCCCTTGTACCTCATCTGCCATACGACAGCTAACCTGCCAATGTACAGACAGGCTGAAACCCCTTAGAAGAGTAGCGAGATACAACCCCAACTAAGGTGTTAATGTTAGAATTATTAAAATAATGTATCTAAGATGATAAATTACCGTGCTCCAGCTCTCCGTGGCGGGAAAGGCATTGACAGACCCGGAAAAAAGGCAAAATAAAGCCCATTTAATTATTTTAGACTGTCCTATGACCACTAAAGTACTTAATGTGAGGACAGAACTAGGAATACCCAGTGTAAAAGATAGATTAATTGAAATCAACCTCATGATAGCCCAGGGGCTTTTGCGTGGTGATCCAGATAGCATTGTTTCCATGAAACTGCTAGACTACAGTATAATGAGTCAGGAATTAGTGAATTTAAATGGGTCCGAACTACAGCAACATATACGAAGATCTTGGGACTAAACAACCTGTACAAAGTTGTGACACATCAACACTTCCTACCACCTTGGCGGAAGTTCCCTTCGATATCACAATACCTACATACCCGCCCAAACGACTGATTAGGCACAGTCTTTATTTCCAATACACCACAAAAATGAGAGCTGTTGAACACAGTGGCCTGTGGGGGGGAAAGAGGTGCTGTCATTGTGACTCAGCCTAATGATAATACGATAGACTGAATAGAGAAAGGAGTTAGAATCAATAATTGGGCATCCACTTTACAAGCTGAATTAGTTAACATACTCACATATAAAATAAAACTTTATACCACTGCCACTGACAGTCTCATCATCACTGACTCCTTATCCTCACTACTTGCCCTTGACACCCTCAACATAAGTTGTCACACGCATTTATTTCTGAAACCAGACAAAAATATGCGTACGTTGTTGTCCAGGGTGTCAAGGTCAAATTGCTGTGGTTCCCCTCTCACATAGGCCTCAATGAACATGGCCTTAAACAAATTCGCGATTAACAGACACCATTGAATACAATTTAGGTCTGTCAACAAGAACCCTTAAAACTGTAATCAGGAAAGGTCTTGATGAATTTGAGACAAGCAGACAAATGCAAACAGCCAATAGTCAATCCATTGTCTACCATGATGAGTATAACATGTAGTATATATGGAGCAAGTAACGAGATCACTAAATTGCAAGATACTGTAACCACTAAATTAAACCGAGGATATAAGTACCTCAGGCAATATGCCCCTGAGGCCACACACTCGAATAATACATCCTATAGACTGTAAGAAAATAGAATCTTTTAGGGACAGGTCCTAGCACAGTGTGTGAAATGGCACAGTACTTTATCTTTAATGGCAAAATAGATGACATATTAAGATTATATCCACTTTTTTCCATCTAGTAGTTAAGTAAATTCTTATGTATAGAACTAAACACCCAATGTACGTACTTGAATGTCTCTCGCGCAGATATGAAGAACAAAGTCTGTGGCCAAAACATATGGCCTCATTCTGCAGTACAGTATACCACTCACGCAGGTGTGAATAAGTCAACTCCTATATAGAGAACTAAACAATTAATTAGAATTACTCTTTAACGTTCAATACCACAATATTTTGACCACTGGGGTCTGTTATACACATCCTTTGTGATCTATACTCTGTAAGATTAACTCTTTTGCACTACCACTCACAGGATGAGTATGAGTACACAATAAATTTTGCCGCTGTCTGTGGCAAAAACAAACACAAAACATGCACACACTCCAATACACATACACTTACCCCACTATACATACACAGGCACACACTACTACAAAAACATTCACACTACTACACAGGTAGGTGACTAACACTACTACACATGCTCACACCACTACACATACTGTACACACTTTAATCACTCGTCATTGTCAAATCCTTGGAAAGACGGGTTTTTATGGAGAATATTGTTGTCAGCAGCACATAAAAAATGGACGTCTTAAAAGTCATGGATGTTGAATTCTATAGACGGGTGTTTTGTATAACCTGGCGGTGCAGGTCTCTCAAGTGGTCCTAACCTCCTCTCCTGAGGTATTACTCCTTCCTTGTTTAGCTCTCTCCCTCTCCCTCTTTCTTTTCCCCTTTGCCTTCCCTCCAACCCTACTTTCTCCTCTCCCCTTCTTCCTCTCCTTCCCTTGTTACTTATCTGTCGTCTTTGTCAATAGCTTCATAAAAGTTTGACAAATCATGTGTGGTTGGGAGTTTGTCTTTACCTGAAGTAACAGAAATAGTGCCAAGGCGTGAATCTTGAATTATTATGTGCTGAGTCATGACCTCTATACACACGCTGGTGGGCTGGACACGAGCCAAAAGTTGTGTAGCAAAATATCTTTAAACTATCTTGATCTAACAGAGTATTATAATATACGTAATAGGATTTTCCATACTTGGAATATGTTTGGCAAAATATTTTCACCTCGTGTACTGTCCACACACTCCAAATGAGCGATTCCCGACCTACTTAAACACTTCATCCTGGCGACTCTTCTTTACCCTTTTTGCTATTCACCAGCCAGAAGAGACAGAAGTAAAAAGTATACGTGGATTTTATTTAGTCTTATAGAATTGTCCAGAGATTCAAATGGAAACATTTTTAAGACACGATAGGCGTTACAAGATGTGGTCGCGTTGCATCAAAGAGTGACACACCAAACACACTGTCGTGTTTGACGGGTCGTCCCTTTACTTGTAAACTCGTGAAATGTGATGTACACAGATCTCTACTATAAAAGTGTCTCTGGAGAGATAATCAGTAGCATCTAACGTTTCCATCTGCCCCTAAAATGACAAGATAATAAAAGTTAAGACAGACGACGCTCGCTCGTCTTCTAGCTTCAGCGGCACTTGTATGGAACGAACAGCAGTGTGGTAGCCAGGCCTGGAGGAGGGGGGGGGGGAGATGTGGCTAAGCATGGAGAGGTTAGGAGTATCTACAGTAATTCTGGAAGGAAGGAATGACGCTAGGAGATATAAGGGAGGGATGAGGGGGGACGGGGGTCCTCGCGTCCTTGGCCATTTCCTGTAGGAAGGTGACCAGTGGTGGCCACCTCGCACTTCCTCGTCCACACCCACTTCCCCGACACCTCTACAATCTCCATGTTTTCTCATTGAAATTTGTTCAGTGAGTTACATTTTAAGAGAATTTTCTCTCAGATTCTATAACCTCTATTTGTATTAAACAAAATTGAGTGAGGAAATTCTCAAAAGCACGTACCGTTTTGACAGCTATGTGGCATCTCAACACTATATAATGCATTGGAACAACCCACAACCATTCTTCAAGCATCCTTTAACACCATACCTCTAGACCTCAATAAGTTACCTAAATAACCTGTACAGTGTACACCGTCTTAGCTGTTTCTCCTGCGTATCTAATTTGCCGTGTCCTCCCTATACTCACCCGTGTCGTGTCATTGTAACTCCATTTTATCTATTTAGTTCTCCAAATATTTTCCAACCCCACACATTTCTTCTTCTAGCCTGATTTCTTAACCTGCCAACCCTTCAAACTCACACAGTACTTTGCAGTCTCTTAGAGTTAGATCATGTGTAATATGTATATATGTATTTAGTTGTATTTAAAATGGTTGTTAACCATACACAACGTCGTTGACGCAGATAATCCTAACTCCATTTTAATTTTCTCCCAGACCTCCACACCTACCAGTCATACCATCCTCCAGCTTATCACCCGTCCTGAAATTATCCATGATTGGAGATTATATTACAGTCATATACACCAATACTTTGTCCACTGCAGCCAATAACCTAGTTTGCATACCTCTACTGACAAACTTCCCCCCAAAAATACGACTACCTTTCAGTGTGGTTTCACGCGCCCCTGACAGATTCAGATCAATCTTAAAGTATCCGCCACTTCCTTTCTCTTATGTTCATCATTCATATCTCTCTTATTTCATTCTCCCATTCTCAGTTTCGCACCAAATAGTTGTATTGTCTAGGGTGGTTATCCTTGGTTGCGGTGCCTTAGTGTTTACCAATGTTTGTATGCCCGCACTGTCCAGGTATACATTGTGTGCGTGTTCCTCCCTACGGAGATAAAATACTCAGAGAATAGATGGTGTCCTTCCTTCCCCATCCACCTTCCTTTTAGTCGCCTTTTACGACACACAGGTCATACGTGGGACTTATAATTACAGTCGCATCCCCAGGTTTTAATAAACACTATCAATTAACTAGCGCTTCTGGAGGCCTTTAGAACACTATCCAGTGTAGCATTTAAAAATAAGAAGGAAATGTTATTGTGTTTTTTTTAAGATGATGATGATGCTTATGGCAATGTTTATTGTAACAGTGATGTACATGTGGACGTTGCTGACAACGGCGACGTGGCGGAACGGGTTGACGGAGGCGCTAGGAGCCCCCCTTTTGGGTCCTGACATTATGAGCTTCGGGTCGCTGCCCCCCCTAACAGTATGGCAGACGGATTCCCTCCCCGTGGTACCCTCAGCCCCTGTGCAGTCTGGCCTCCCCGCGCCCAAGGGCACAGAATTCGACGGTCCTGATCCGGGCCTAAATGCTGCCATTATTAGTAAGTCCTTTCACCCGTCACTCTTATTTCTCCATCTTTTCTTGTTTTTATATCTTCACATCCCGCGCGCGCGCGCGTGTGTGTGTGTGTGTGTGTGACTACAAAGAAAAAGAAATAAGCAAACCAGTTTCGGTAACTTTGCAGATAGGTTGGATGATTCCTGAAATAACTAATTAGATTTTCGATGAAGTCGATAAAAGTCCAAGGTCATTCACTGATCAAGGCCAGAGGCACTAATGTGAAAGGACAGTTGGATCTTGACTTATAAAGGAACCATTGAACTTTGATGAGGAAATGTCAAAGTCACAGCTCAAGGCCATAAACAACTTTTCTAGTATTCTGAAAAATAAAAGATCGAGAATTAATTTTTATGAAATTTGGCGAATCAGTTGGGCGGCCTGGGACGAAAATATTTGAGTGAGACTAAAGACTAGGTCAGTCATAGGCTGAGGTAAAGTGTTGAATTGAACGGAAATATTTTGCAATAAGGAATGACTATTGTTCTATGCCAATAAATAATACAGCCTTATGTTCCTCAAATAAATAAATAAATAAATATATATATATATATATATATATATATATATATATATATATATATATATATATATATATATATATATATATATATATATATATATAAAGTAAATGAATGCTTATTATGGACCTCACAACTATACCCAAATGCTCCATCACACTTCAGATAATTGCACCAAACTTTATAGCTACCAAAGTAATTTTAATACAATTCATATAATAGAGCTCACTCATCTTTAATAGTTTTCTTTATTGCACTTCCTAATGCTTGAACCTTTATAATATTAATTACTTCTCTCAATTTGTAGAATAAAACTATCTCCTTCATTGCACTTTGTTTTTAAATTTTGTGCCATTCTCAATTACCTAACCCAATTTATACAAATTTTGATAGATGACATTGTAACAACATATGTATGTATGTATGTGTGTGTGTGCGTTGCAGCTGTGCCAACGGAGCCGTGTGCGAGCGGGTACCGGCGGGACTCCAATGGCGTGTGTCGCCTGGAGTTTGGCTATGGACCAAACCCGTTCTTCTCCTTCACGCCTGAGAATTTCAAGGGCGATGTTCAGTTCTACATGGGCCTTCAGGTGAGATAGTTATGCTTCATTTCACTTCATATCTGAGCTTAATTTTTTACTGTGTTAGTAATTAACGTATCAAATGTATGCTCGACTCCTGCTGGACGAGTGCGAACAGAAACAAAAACTTTGCTTGCTGGAATTTCCATCGAGCAAAGTCGGTGGCGAGTTGGGTCTTTCCTGTGTGAAACTGTATTATAAAAGAACGCCGGTCGTGACAGAAGGTATGTCACGACCGGCGTCCTTTTTTCCGCCGCTTTCATAACCATATCATAGTAGTAGTAGGGGCGGGGTCCCAGTGGGTAGAGCGGTACCGCTCTTGCCTCGCAAGCGAGATGTCACGGGTTCGATTCCCGGGCCGGTGGAAAGTTGTTCGGACACACTTCCCAGCCTCCCTTGGTCCCTGTTCACCTAGCAGCAAAGTAGGTACCTACTGTTAATCGAAAGTTGCGAATTCGTATTTAGGGAACATAAGAACGTAAGAAAATAAGGAGTCTGCAATAGGCCGGTTGGCCTGTGCATGGCAGCTCCTGTCGAGAGTTACTACCACTCTCTATCATCCATGAATCTATCAAGCCTCCTTTTGAAACATTCCAGCGTTCCAGCACTTACTACAAAGTTGCTAAGCTTGTTCCACTCGTCCACCACCCTATTTGTGAACCAGTTCCTTCCTATCTCCCTCCTAAACCTAAACTTATCCAACTTAAATCCGTTGCTCCGAGTCCTATCCTGTTCGGATATTATAAGAACTTTATCTATATCCCCTTTATTGATTCCTTTCACCCACTTAAATACTTCTATCATATCTCCTCGCACTCTTCGTCTTCTAGGGAATGCAAATTTAGTTTCTTTAACCTTCTAAGTCCCGGAATCATATTCTTCGCTGCACCGACTCTAGTGAATTGATATCCCATAATAAGGGCACCAGAACTGAACCGCATGAGGTGCGGCCTGACTAGCGCTATAGTTTAAGATCTCTGACTCTTATTACTTACACTTCTAGATATAAAACCCAATACTCTGCACTGTTTTCTAGGCCGTAAGTCCGGGCTTACAAGTACCCCTAGGTCTCTTTCACAAGTCAACTCCTCTAGGATGATGTTGTTAAGGCCGTATACATTGACAGTATTTGTTCTTCCAATATTATGTACGCTGCACTCGCTGGTGTTGAATTTCATTTGCCATTTTTCAGACCACCCCTGCAGTTTATTTAGATCCTCCTGTAATGCCTTTGCATCCTGCCCTGAATTAATCTGCCGCCCTATTTTGGTGTCATCCGCAAACTTGCTTTTGTCACTGCTGATCCCAGTATCTAGATCGTTTATGTAGATTATGAACAAGAGTGGGCCTAGTACTGACCCCTGGGGAACCCCACTGGTTACACGGCCCCGCTCAGATTTAACACCATCTACGCTGACCCTCTGCGTTCTATCGGTGAGCCATGATTTTATCCAATTTAAAACTTTCCCCTCGATACCATGAGCCTTAATTTTTCTCAGAAGCCTCTGATGTGGTACTCTGCTTTGCTAAAGTCTAAGTAAATAACATCGTAATTTTCGTCATTATCTACTACCTCGAAGACTTTCCTAAAAAACGTCAGCAGATTTGTTAGACAAGATTTTTCTTTTGTAAACCCATGTTGAGAGTCGTAGATTAATTTGCTTTTCTCTACATGCGATCGGATGCTATCTGCTATAATTGATTCAAGAAACTTCCCCACTACTGACGTCAAACTGATCGGCCGGTAATTTGACGCTGATGCTCTGTCTCCCTTTTTGAATACGGGTACTACATTTGCCTGTTTCCACAAGTCTCGCACAACTCCGGTGTCGAATGATTTTGTAAATAAATTTACGAGGGGTCCGCTAATCTGTTCCCTACACTCTTTCAAGACTCGAGGGAAAATTTCATCCGGCCCTGGGGATTTTGTCTTCTTTAGTTTATTTATCCTCTTAAGTTGTTGGAGCTTCCAATAACTTGCTTAGACATAAACCATTGACTCTTCAGGCTTCTACGCCCTTAACTCAAGAGACATAAAGGCAAGCATTAACTTAGCATGCTTCCCTGTTGGGAGCTGTAAACGCTTCTGCCCAATAAAAAAAAAAGGTGCGTGTAGTAGAACGTCAAGAGGCTGTAACTGATGATCTCTTAACGACTAACCTGACACCACAAACTAACTTCAACTTCATTATATGCCGTAACTGTTTCTCCATTTTATATCCCCTCTGTCTTTTCAATCTTCATTAATTAAATACCCCTCTCTCTCTCTCTCCTATACACAAACACGAGAAACATGAAGGAATAAACATTAATAAATAACTATCACATTTGTAACACAAATATTCTGCCTTCAGTAAGGAAATAAATCCTTAACCAATCTTATTGCATTCATCTATCTATCTCTCTCCTACACACAAACACGTAAATACATTATTCTTCACTGTAAGGCAGAATATTTGTCTTAGAAACGTGCGACTTGACAACTTCTTCCAGGACACAACGTGGGCTGTGACTGACTGTACCGCTGGCAGGCTGATTGGCTGAGGGGTGGTGGTGCTGCGGCTTATACATTTGGGAAATATGCTCCCCGGATCCCGTGCCACATTACACAGAAATTACTTATTTTGATATCACGTGTTTAGTCAGCGTGAGAGTACACTTGGGCTGAGTGGGTCGGTGGTAAAGAAACAGACGACACGCAGCGACTAGGCAGATTTTTTGGACATTACCTCCAAAATAAAGACCATCCAAGAATGTTGAAAGGTAACGTAACCTGTATCTAAATTCCAAATAGCAAAATATTAACTCTTTCTATAGGAAATGCGAACGTCAGCAAAACCAATCTTTAACATATTATTATTTTTATTCGAGAACCATAAATAATTACCATACACTAAAACTTTATCAGTTAGGAACCTTATATTTTTTTTCACAAATATAGCCAAATGTTACAGAAAGACGTGACATGATCCACACAATTGATTACCTTAAATGAAGTGTTGAAAGTGTCCACCAACTTGTTGCAGGCAAAAATTTTATCCTTTCAGCATGCTCTCCGACACAGAATGTAGAATTTCTTAGGTAATTTTACTGATTGTGTCACTGATTAATGCTTTTAATTCATCAAAGGTGCGTGGATTTGTAGCATACACTATCCTTCAAATATCTCCACAAAAGAAATCTGGCATCGTGAGGTCTGGGATCTAGGTGGCCATAATTACTTGAACACTAGTCACCAAAAAGTTACCCAAGCTTGTTCAGGCTGTATGGCTGGGGCATTTTTTTTTTTTTTTCCACGCAGCTTGTTTCTCTGAACTGCTTTTCCAGTTTCCATATCACTGATTTCGAAGGTTTCGTACGACCACCAAAGCCACTTTTAAATGCAATTTGATATTCCCCAAGGATGCATTCTTGACTAATGTTCGACAAGAAACACATGCTCTTACACAGTGAGCGCCATGGCGTGACTGAGTAGTGAGTAAATACCGTTCAACACAACTGACACTGAAGTGTCAAGTGATAAATCACGTGATACCTGATAAATCTCAGGATCATGTTACGTTTATCTATAACATTGGCTACATTTACGCAAAAAATTAGGTTCCCAACTGATATAGTTTTTTGTATGGGAATCATTTAGGGTTCTTGAATAAAACAAAAATCACCCTGTACATAGATAAAAATTGAGATGATCTTTATTTTCCATTGAAAGTATTGAGCATGTCAAAAAGCCAACAATCGCTTATGTTCAATGCTTAACAAGTTACAGAACAACATATAGTTTCTGGGCTAACACCTAAAAATTTCTTGTTTTTAGTTTGCATATATACAGTAATTGTTTCATATCCCATCAATACAGTTTTCAGACATCCACAACGATAGTATATCACGGCAATTTTCTGCTTATTATTAACAGGTTGAGTAATTCAGACTGGTTAGCTTAACTGATTTTTTTATAGTCATCAAATGAAAACGAGGCAGAGGTCCTTCTTGGTATCGCATTTTTAGTGATATTAAGCAATGCTTAATAAACACGCTGAAGGGAAGACATGGAGCACGTTAAGCTGTATGACACGTTGATCACAATTGTGTGATTTATATATACTAATTGCCTCTTGAGGAAAGTATTACACATGCCCCCCCCCCCAAAAGCGGGATTAAAATTTAATACCATTTAACACTTGGTTTTATATACGTTTTTCAAATCTGACAATGCTCCAGAGACGGTGGTAAGACATTTCAGTAAAACTTTCCGAATCCATTACTCAAGAGAAAGTTTTTTCACCTTTTAAAAACCAACTTCTAGGCTAGAAATAGTTTTTTTAAAAGGGGAAGCTAACAACTCCACCCAACGTTGATAAGTTTTCTACCACTGGAAGATCCAGGCAACCCTGTTAAATTTTGCTCCCAGTTGAAATTTGCCACCATTACCAAGCCAAAACGTTGGGTATGAGTGAGTACGGTCCTTTTGTTGAGCCCTCTTTGGAAAGTCTAAATGAATCTTTATTTAGATTAAAGCCAGAGCCCCGAACTTAGGAACATCAAGGGTTCGCGTGCTAAGTCTACGGACACCAATATCCTACTACCCCAGGGACGCCTAGGACTCCAAGTAAAAGTATATACGGATGTCGAAGATCAAGCACTTGACGGATAACAACCCTTATATTGCACACCAATAAGAACACGCCTTGCAATAAGATTTTCTAGATAGTTATGGTTACATCAAACATTTTGACCAGATTGTAATGCAATGAAAATCAAGTACAAAAAGTTTATAGTTAACTTCAGCATCTCACAATGTTTTTTTTTGTTTGTTTTTTTAACAGGATTAGCCCACCGGGCACAGGTTTTTTACCCACATCTTGGCTTGGGAGGGAAACGAAATATAATAATAATAACGATAATGAAAATTTTAATAATAACAATAGTAATAATAATAATAATAATAAAAGAGTATTTATAATTCATCACTGATACAAATTAATAGTACCCCTGTACTGAATTTCTTACAAAGCATTACTAAACACTCTTGTTTTGCCTGAAGATTTGAATTACACGAAAGCGCTTGGGAACTTCGTGTTTTCTTCTTTCCTTGCGGTTATCAGCATATATATATATATATATATATATATATATATATATATATATATATATATATATATATATATATATATATATATATATATATATATATATATATATATATATATATATATATATATATATATATATATATATATATATATAGTGATTCACAAAGATGTACATTGAATTATTGAATTGCAGGGTATATTCCTGGGATAATTCTAAGCCACAATGTATACCTGTATTATACAGGTATACTGTATAACAAAATGTCGAAATCCAAATAGTTTGCTAGCTACAAACTACACATGAATGATGTTGAAGTAATGATAGTGATAATTGTCTTGTAGCATAGTGTATGTGGCCAGTTGTCTAATTTCTCTTTGTTGTGTCAACTGTCTTTGTTAGGTTCACATACATACGTACATGGAGATCTCGCACTCAGGATGGCAGTGAGAAAGGAAACTCACAATGGCGTTTTCTTTATATATATATTATATGTACAGAGCAGTCAGGTGCTGGGAAGTTGCTGTGTTGTAGAGGAGTTGCTGTGGAGGAGCTTCTTTAGAGGAGGTTGTGGGGTTCAGGATGTTTGGTTCACACTCGGGATGGGATGGAGAAAGGAAACTCACAATGTGCTCTCTATATACATGTTCTATTGGATGTGCAATGCAGCTTGGTGCTGGGAAGGCAGCATGGTTACAAGCGTGATGTAGAGAGAGCTGGTTGGTGAGGACGCTCAGAGGAGGACCAGCTTGTGGGTCGCCATGCTCGCTGGCGGGAGAGAGGACCGCCAGGCAGGCAGAGGAGGAGCGAGGGCCGCCAGGCAGCAGCGGAGGAGGAGGTGTGTGTTGCTGGCTGGTTGGTGTAGGTAGAAAGAGGGCAGGTCACTACGAGGTCAGGTCTTAAATAGCGGGGGGTAGGCGTGGCTTAGTAGTTGACCCCCGCTCCGTGATGTATGGCGGCGCTGGTTGACCCAGACCACGAGGCATACACTGGGGAATTGGTGGGGTCGGCTACTCAGCAACAAACAGCATTTGTAGGGGAGAAATCCACTACAAGGTCTTCTCTACTTAAGAGTATGGTGTCGTCTGCTCTCATGGGGAGGCAGGGGGGTATTTATATGACTCTGTCGGATCAAGAATCGAGGTGCAAAGATGAAAAACGCTGCTGATTGGCTGAGGTGAAGGCGGCAACTGGTCAATCACCGCACAGTTCGAAAGTGAGGGCTGGTTTATGTAACTCGACCCTGGTTGGCTGAGGAGAGGATGGCAAGTGATCAATCAGCAGTTATAGGGGAGAGGATCCACTACAATACTCCCCCTCCCCTCCGAGAGCTGCAGGAAACTTGTTGTCGGCATGGTTGTATCCCACATGGAGACATAAAGGGCAGGGGTGTGAACCACTCAGCCGCTACGGGTGACGACACCGTCGAGTGACACAAAATCTGTGGGAGAAGCATTGGGAGAAGGAGGGTTGTAGTTTCTGTTAGGACCGCTGGGCTAAGTGTGTTGAGTCCCAAGGGGCCTACTTTGAAGGGGTTCAAAGTTGGAACTCAGTCAGTAAGCTTGTTTTTTTTCACCTGCTAAAGGTCTGATACTTTTCGATCAGACCTCGTTCAATGGGAGAGGGTGTCGGCGATCTCGTTGTGGCTGCCCTTGATGTGTTGGATGTTGCTGGTGAACTCCGAGATGTAAGCCAACTGGCGAAGAACACGAAGTGTATGTCTCTGGGAGGCTGACACGAAGGCGTGGACAAGGGGCTTGTGATCAGTGAAGATGGTGAACTGACGGGCCTCGAGGAAGTGCTGGAAAATGCTTGACAGCAAGATATATGACCAGGAGCTCTTGATCGAAGGCACTGTACTTGAGTTGAGGTGGTTCAAGCCGTTTTGAGAAGAAGGCAATGGGCATGAGAGTTTCGTTGATCTCCTGTTGTAAGACGGCACCTATGGCAGTAGAAGAAGCGTCTGTTGTGAGAGTGGTCTGGGTGTTGGGGGGCAGGGTGAACCAGCAGGGTAAGGTGTGTGATGTGCTGCTTGATAGTGGTGAATGCTGTAAAAGCCTCTTGAGTCCATATGAGAGGCGTGTGAGACGTCTTGGGGAGTCCCTTGAGAAGATCGTGGAGAGGAGCGAGGATGCAAGCAGCTTGGGCAATGAAGCGGTGGTAGTAGTTGACTAAACCCAAGAATTCTTGGAGCTTCTTCGCTGTTTCAGCTTTGGGGAACTCATCAACCTAACCCCCGTGAATTTGAAAGGCATGCTGTACTGAAATTTTCCTTATAAATATGATTGTTTCTATAATGAGACAACTGTATATGCTCTAGATAGTGTTTTTACTTTGTAGCCATATCTCGTATCCAAACAGAAGTACTGTACCGTAGTTCAGTATCAGAAATATTCAGCACCAGCTCTTTTGTTTTAAGTAGTGTTTCTTATTGATGTTCACAACAAATTTAAAAATTACGTCAGTGATTGTGTGCTGTATACTGTACTTTATAAATATAACAATCAACAGAGGATCAGAAGGCCTACATACAGTATACTGCATATATTTACAGATTGGAGGTGGATTTCCATCAAGAAGACGAGGGCGTGGAAGAGGCCGTCCACGACCACCACTGTTCCATATGTCCTCTTTCCCTCCACAACCCATCGAGGATGATGATGATTAACCACTGTCTACTGAAGAAATATACAGATGGCCTAATGGATCGCTTATATTAGGTACTTCATTGGTGCAGTGGTATCTTTAAGTGTTTCCATTAAAGATAAAAAAAAAAGGTTACCAGCTCAGTAAATGCTAATCTATAATTCTATATACCATATGTCTTCTAACAGTGAATACTAGCTTGTGATGAAATACAAATCAAATGTTTGTTACTAAAACAATATTATAATTGGTGAGAAAAATATACGAGTTCACAAAGTTTGCTATACAATAATTTCTTGGCCAGAGGATTGCTGATTCCTGACAGCATATAGACTCCTTAGAAGCCTGTATTCACTGCATATTAAGTATTTATACTACCTCAACAGTCTTAACTGTGATGAGGAGAAACTTGTGGTGCACAGAGAATAAAGTGGCAGAAAAAAATATATACTCGTACAGTACTGTAGTGTATTACTGTATACTGTACTGTACTGTATATTGCTGATGAAAGTAAAGTGCAATACATGGTGATTGAGTATGAGCACAAATGAGTGAGGAAAGGGATGCAATCATTCATATAAGAGTGTATTTGAATGAAAAACTAGTAAACTACAATCATGTGTGTACATAGTAATCATCCACACAAACAAGACTGGTCATTTGATATGGCCATTTATTTATTTTTAACTATTAATGAACTCAATTTGTGAATTCCATTTGTGATGTTGATAGAGGAAGAATGTGCCTATTTACAATAAGCATACAGTATTTTATTTCTGTAGGCAATGATAAATATGTTTTCCATATTATGCATAGCATAAAAGTAGCTTGGTGTATAACACTAAAGAATTGACCAAACCATTAGACTAAAAAAAATTGCATTAGATGAACTTAATATTTAAGATAATTGTTGTGACAGAATGACTTAATTAACTTGGTGAGACAGGTACAGATGTGACTGAATATGAAATAACTAAGTAGTTTGGAGAAGATTTATTAGGAAAATATAATGTTTTTTAAAGTAGTGTAGCTGTACCATAATTGTTTCTGGATATTGAGTTACAAATAATAGAATATTGGAAATTTATGGATCAACAAAGTAGAAATAACATTTTTAATCCTTTAAAAGATCATGATGTTAAGGCCTATCATATTGTGAGTAGCTTTTTATCAACCTAGTTTTTCAAATACTTTCATCTTGCCTACATAATTTTTCTTACTTTAATAAACTATTTCCTTCAACCTGTATAAATGATGCTACCAGATTCTTCCTGAACAATTTGGCTGGTTTTTTTTTACATTTAAATACTGTACTGGTATTAAAAACCAGTAGCATTAAAAAACTGGCAAAGAAATCTTTAAGTCTATTCAGCAGTATCACTCATGAAGGAGTTACATTTGTTTGTGTTATAAATAATACTGTGGAGGAGCAATGACAATAAAGATGGGTTAAAATACTAGGTACTGATAATTATAAAAACAAAAAATCATGACGGTACAGTACTGTAATAATAAGCTGAAATTAATATTAGTGTCATCATATTTTGGAAGTTTAGTAAAGGTGCCAAATGAAAATTTTATTTAGTCCATCCATTACCAGCTCCTTTTGTATTTGTAGTTTCAATACAGTAAATAAAACAAACATACAGTACAGAACTCATATCAACTACATTCCTATTTTAATCATTAAACAATTCAATCCTGCCTCCTAATTAACAGGGTAACATACTCACCCAGAATATTCTATCTGGCACAAACTTGCAATCAATTTGTCATTTACAGGTAAACCTCGATAAACGATGGGGTTACGTCAATGAAAATCCATCGCAAGGTGAATTATCGTAGATAGGGAGCATTATAACATGGGCTTCAATGGGATACGTTCCCAGCCAGTCCCCAAACACACATGTATCACAGACAAAACAATTCCTACAACACTGCTATCAATACAAAACAATTAAACAACACTCACCACATCCTGAAGAATAAACCTGGTCATTATCACATGTCCCCTTCAAGGCTAAGGGGGCCATTGTAGGTGGAGTGGAGATGTCACTCTGATTCCCACACAGCATCTGGGGAGTCTCATGCTGCTTAACATTGTCAAGCTTCACCTTAGAGACACAGTTGTCTTGGATGCCTTGGCCTTCCCAAACATTTACAAAGTTACACTGCTCACTTCAGTCACAAAAACAGAGCGAATGATTATAACAAAAACAATGATAGCGGCCGACCCTGCTCACATTTTCAAAACAACAGAGTCAACGCACCTTACTGTCACAAAAACACAGAAAATATCACTTCATAGTCACAATAATGCACTTCAATCTAAATGTGCAGCATCTCTGAATGGGGAGGTAGAAACTTGGTTAAATTCAGTAGTAATAAAATTCAGTATTTACCAATTACACTTTCCAAATTAGATGATCTCCCACCAATCACATTTCAGGATGCAATCATTCTGCCAAATTCTAAAATAGATTTGCTAGGCCTCGCCATTTCCTCTATGTCATGGAAGCCACATATCCACAACATTGCTAAAACTGCCTCCCGAAAGCTGGGAATGCTGTACAGATACCGTAGCGACTTCACTCCTGAGCAGTTGCTTCAAGTTTATAAGGGATTCATTCGTCCTAACTTGGAGTACTGCTCTCATATCTGGGGTGGCTCTTCTTCTGTCCAACTGTAGATAAGGTGGAATCAAAGGCATTTCATCTTATTGACTCTCTCCCTTTAGTTGATAATCTTTCTTCCTTTTCTCTTCGCCGCAATGTTGCTTCACTCTCTCTCTTTTACAGGCACTTTAACGGGCAATGTTCGGTGGATTTTGCATCCTGTATACCGCTGGCAAGGCCGTGGGCTCGTAACACTCGTCTTGCCTGTGGTGCCCACCGCTTTTCTGTGGATGTCCGTCACACTAGAATAACCCGTTATAGTACCTGTACATCCTTCTTTCCTCACACAGTCAAACTGTGGAAAGCTCTGCCTTCTTCTGTGTTTCCATATTCATACAATCTGTCTCACTTCAAAAAGCTGATTTTCTGGCATCTTTGTAGTGTTGATTAATATAATTTTTTTCTTTTCTATTTATTTTTACTCTTATTATTTCGCCCCCGAGGCCCCATTGTGGGTCGATGACCTGTGCCCGGGTGGGCTATTCTCTGTAAAAAATAAAAAATAATAGAATAAAAAACGTTAGTGCAGTCCTCTCAGTATATAAGAGCTGGGTCTAGAGCTTAGAAAAGCAGTGCTTTTATCATATACAACGCCAGTATATCTTAGTACAGTACTGTACTGTCGCTGCATTCTCTTATCAGTTTAGCAATACTGTATGTCATTACAATGGAGTCTTGAAACCAACTGTTGTTTCCTCGGTAGCAGTCATATTCACTTTAATTTTCACAAAATGTGGAATACCTTGGAAGTACAGTACAGTATTTGCTCTTTTAGATGACTGCCATCAAGTGATCTAGCCCCTTCATGGGTTTTTCTGCTTCAAAACTGGGAAATGGCTCATTAGATTAAAATTCCACACTTAACTTTTAGAACCTGAATACTGTATTCATACATTGACTAGTCACATAACATGACCCTGTCTGACCCAACAAAAGTTCTGAACCATTCACTCAAACTTCATTTAACATACTGTACAACATAATTTTTCTGAAACATTTAAGTAAAATACACCACTGCAGACCTGCAAATCCCTTCTGGTAATGAAACAAATCTATACTTTTTAATGAACAGGTATAATTTGTCAAGGAATAAATTATCTTGGACAATACAAATATTCCTAAGTATCCTTACTAGTAAAAAGAAAAAGAAGAAAAAAAGATATGACATTCTCATGCACCTTACCAAGATTCATGGGGTGACAACCCCTATATGAGAAGAGTTGGTTTGTGGCCAACTCAGCACAACATAATGTTCCACAAATATGTGTCACATAAATTAGGGGTCCAGATTACTAGCAACTGAGTGACAAAGCCCTAAAAACAAAAATATCTTATGTAATTATCAAAATTTATTAGTTGTCAGTTTTAGAAAATAATGTTAGAAAATGGTGTTAACCATATCGTATAAATGACATTATTTTTAACCATAATATTAATTACCGGGTAGTATCTGTACTAAATTCTAGACACTCTTATGTCTGTGTAATGTATATAGATCAGCACCTATTTCTCTAACAGGGCTATCCCTATAACTTCAGTGTAGGTACAGAAGAAAACTAGACTTCCTGGAGGAATGAAGAATTGGTCCTAAAATCCAATTTTCTGGAAGGACCTCTGGTCCTGCAGCTCTAATAATACAGCCTGTTTAATGGAAGATTATTATTGATCCTCAAACTACACCTCCATATTGTCAGAATAGGATTGAACTCATTCCAATTTGGGTTGTACAACCGTATGTCCCTTCCCTTCACACCATCCTTGCAAAAGGGGAAAAATTGATGAGCCAGTTGTAGTTTCATGAAGCCAAGCCTGTCCAACCATCACACTCCATGCCAGGGCTACATCCAATATTATTATTCAGGTAAAATCTGTCACTCACACCTCAATTCCAAATGACCAATCCATTAACCCAAAGGATAAAGGAGGTATTTGCGCATTTTCACAAGAGGCTCCTTTAGAATAAAGGCCCAATAGTTCATTTTCAGCATATAACCTGAAGCTAGCAGCTCTCAATCAAAAGCCAGCTACACAAGAGGGAGATGGTTGTACTGTACTTGCCATCTGTTATTGGGAGGTTTTGAATTTTGCTCTCCAAAACCACACAGTTCTTTGGAGTTATCCTCAAACCTTGAGGAAAGGAGAACCATCAGTATCAGTTCCATTAATCAATGCACCACTTGTCCCCATGGAGATGAATTGGGTGAAAGCGTCTCTAACAACAAGAACCATGTACAGTAACTAAAAAAAGTATCAGTGAATACACTGTGTGAAACAATATGAGACCACGGACAATAGGTACTGGGATATGCATGTTGTCTCCATTTATTTCATTCCTATATGCCAACTCATCCCCAGTTTAGGATACTGAATAGCGGTGGGTGAGGACATGCATACCAACCCTCTCGAGACATCACGAGTTGTACATATAATTTCGGAAGCCATCGGACCCACCCTGTTAGATACTTTTTTTAGCAACTGTACATCCTGTGTTGGTAGTTAAGAAAAGCAGGGAACCACAAAAAAGGAGAGAAAACAAAATCCAGGAAATCACTACTGTAGTCTGTAACCAAAACCCAAGCCTACATTGAATAATTTTTTTAATGCACTGATTAAAACTAGTGAATATAAACGATCCTGTAAAATCCATTTGAAATTTATAAAACACCGAAGATGACTGAACACTACTGTATCTCCAACCATTCTAATACAGGACAGTGAAAGGTTTTGAAAAAAGCTTCATAAGAAGTTTTACAAAGCAGAGAAAACAATTCTGGCAAAACCCAGAAGCTCCTGTAACTAATAAATCAGAACTTCCTTTTGATATAAAGTACGAGTATTAAAGAAATTAAATACAGTATTTACCCATAATGAAAGTCTTAATCTACAAAGAAGTCTTCCTCTCATGGGATACCTCCTGATGGTCAAGCAAATTGCAGACAGGGATTTTGCAATTACCATTCACTGCTAAAAAATCCTCCATAATATTAACACCCTGAGGATGAATCTACAAGAAGGAATGATCATCCAATCTCTGTATAGTGTGTAATATCGTATCCTTAAAAATAGTGTTTACTCTATCATTCAACATTCTAGTAAAATACTTTGGCAACGAATGAGCATGAAATCTGTCACAGTATTAAACATGTCTTTAGGAATTACTCCTAAGGGAAAATACCTTGCTGATACCAGGTATACAGTGAAGTATATATCAGACAGGCATCCTACAAATATGTTCTCCCTCATATTTGATGAAGAAAAGAGGAATAAGTTTTTTTCAAGTGATGAATGTGGATGTTCTGAATAGAAGAATTATATACAGTACTACTACCACCTTTCATTCACAACCTTGTCAACTCAGGTCATCATCAAGGAGACTGACAGGGTCTTGCTTGGCCCAACATTTCCTTCCCTGACAGTGAAGTCTGGGTCAACACTTGTCAACTCAGGTCATCATCAATCCCCTTCTCTGAGATGTGACAGCTTGTGATGTTGGAGTGAACCTGCTTCTGGCCACAAGGGTTTACACAATAATGTTGTTAAGGTCAGCATCATGGTTCAGCCTGTCAGGTCATATATAATAGGGCAGTTCCAGCAAGTCACTTAAGTTTTAGGATACACAACATAATGTGAACTTCTGGAATTACTTCATTACAGATTTTTAGATTACTGTATAAGGTAAGATACACTCAAACTAATTCTGTGAAAAGCATCATGCTTTTTAAAATTAAGTAAAAGATGTATTTTATGAATATGTTCCGAGGTGCAGTTTTACAAATCTCAGAAGTCATCCCCTCTTTCAATCACAACAAATCTACGCCAATGATAATAGCTATGTGAAATGTATGACATTAGTTTATCTGCATTCTACAGTACAGTGGTCCCTCGGTTAACGAACACAATTCGTTCCAGAGGGTCGCTAGTTAACCGAAAATTTTGTTCACCAAATCCACTATTTCAATAGGATATTGGGTAATTGGTTCCAGCTCACCGAAAAGTACATACAAAGTAAAAAAAAAAAAAATGCAAAAAAGTACACTTACTTTGAGGTGTGTGTGTAGAAGGTTCCTGGTAGATGATGATGATGATGGAAATTAGAAGTGAGGGTGGAGGAGTAGGGAGAAGAGAAGGAAGTGGGGATGGAGGAGTAGGGAGAAGAGAAGGAAGTGGGGATGGAGGAGAAATCACCTTTCAGGGGACCCATGCTTGATGCCATCATTTCACCAATAAAATTTTAAGTTCACTAGGTGTAATTCAAGATTGTTTTATTTAAATCAACACTGCACTGCGCTATATACTATCAATATGTTAACTAAATTTCAGAATGACCAATATTTTAAATGTAAAATGCAAAAATATTCAAGACACCAACAAAATAGATGTTCACTCCACTGTCAACAAAGTCCAACTGATGCCTGGTGCCTGAGTCAAGCGTCTGATGGGCGCACAAAAAACTAGTTCCCTGTACTACATATATCAATATGTTAAATAAATGTTTAAATGACTAATAATTTTAATATAAAAAATGCAAAAATATTAAAGAGCACAACTTTCTTGATATTTACTCCACTCGAAACTAATGCAAACATAGAACAGATTACTGAATTGGCAGACTAGCCCATCAGCTGATGCTCACAACAAAACGTTATGTTAATAAGGATGTCGTTAATCAAAGTTTTGTTCGGTAACCAAATTGAAGATCCTTATGGGAGGTAATTCGTTCACCGAAATTTCATTAATCGAACCATTCATTAACCGAGGGACCACTGTATACAACATGAATCAGCATAAAGGGAAACTTCTTTTTTTTTTATGCCTAAAACTGTCTTCATATGTTTTGTTTCTTTAGTGAAATATGCAAGTTTCCCTAAGATATATAAATGTTTTTCAAATTTTAAAATACAGTATGTAAGATAAACCTTAAATTGCAAGCATCCAACTAGAAACTTTGAGTTGTACAAATATTTGTAGTAAGAGTTGTTTTCTTATGAAATGTATGCAATTATTTAGAAACCAACGCCGTTATTTATATTTATCATCCAATTGGCACTGACTCAATACTGTACTTTCCTCACTGAAGAGAAAAGAAATCACCCAAAAAATTAGTAACTCTGACTGTTGTGTGTAATTTTGACACTTCAAATTTCTCTTCCCTGGAAAAAATCAGACATCACTGGAATTTTTCTGGGTACTGTACTGAGCTGGGGAAAATTTTTCATGAGGCTAAACTAAGTATCTCACACAGACAGACATAGCTGTACTGTCATATAACAAACAAGCATGTCAAGTAAGTTGATGCTACCAGGAAAACTTTTTTGCACAAGGAGAACGCTGATTGGCTGCGAGCATAGTACTTGGATACGTCGCTGAGTGTTCTGCCTTGTAACTTCTACCTTGTATAATGGATTTTTAAAAATTTTTGTTTTCTAGTAAAAAAACTCCAGGGGAGGACCAAAGAGTTCTATAATGAATCATCATTATGCAGGGTAAGGCTAAATGGAGTATTACTGTACTGTGATTATTTGTGGTAATTTGGATACGAATGAACCAGAATCCGTAAATTTGTTCCCTTAATACCAGAGTCCATTATTTTTTTTTATTTTAAGACATGAGTTTGTAATACAGTATGTCAACTTAATCTGAACGGGTCAGAGTGCCCGTTAAAGCGGAGGTCCGTTATAGGATTATATTGGGGGTTTATTGTACTGTGAAAATCCCTCTCTGTAGTTCTGTTATGCTTTTTGTCTTGAAGAACTTGCAAAACTTGTATATAACAGAAAAAAAAAATATATAATAATAATTAATTCACCCTAACATCACTGAAAATAAAACCATATCTTATGTCCAACATTTATTAGAAAACATCAGAACCATCCAAAACAATCTGGGGAAAGTTTATACAACTGAACATACTATACATTATATTATAAACATGGATAATGTGATTGCTTAGATAAGATAAATACGTGATTAAAACTTTGGTATGCATATTTTAAATAAAAAAACATTGCCAACTTATTAAATTATGCAGTTTTTCCCCAGATCATTCTTAATGTCTGATCCACTACTGTACTATATACAGGTCAGTTTATCTAATCATCAGTATCTTTTCTAAGAAAAATTTAAATAAATCCCAACATCTACTGATCTTGGGAGTCAAGCAAGTCCAACCACTTTTAAAACTGATTCTCTATATCTTGAGAGTGTTGGCTCATCTTCACCTGGTCAAAAGAAGAAAATTGCAGTTAATTATTATTTGGAACATTTGTGTATAGTCAGCAAAAAATTATTCTGCAACCCTGGGTGCAATGACTCGCAGCGAACACTGCGAGACTGACACCATGTATTGGTAAGGTTGGTACCTCTGATTGTGTAATTCATTGTAAAACTCATGTGCTTTTATTCCTTCTACAATATGTAGTAACCACAGAGAAATTACCAGGAATACATATAAAACCCACAGCATTATATACTATACCGTAGTACTGTACAGTACTACGTTTAATCACCCACATACGGTAGGAATGGCAAGCACTCTAGAAACTGAGGTGCTGTATAGGAATTTCACATACTATGAGATACAACGAAATTGTGAAACTACTCATGATTATAACCACTATATGAGAAAGTGATGAGAAGTGGCATAATACAAGACCTCAACCAGAAAAAAACAATACCCTGTACGAAACATTTGTAATGTAAGAAAGTTATATAATATTACGCATAGGTAGCTGAGCGCCGATTATTTTATAAATATACTGTAGTTATATGATGTTAACTGCTCTATTCACATCTTGTAACACATTGTGCACACAGACATACTAAAACACCTGATGGTAAATACTATCTACAGAGTAACTGGCAACTCAGGAAGCCAGGGCTACCAACATCTGCTTTGACTCATGAGTGTTTTCAGAATTCTTGGTCTGGTGTGTCATACTGTAGGAACCCTTAAAGGTGCAGAATAATAGTTTGCTGACTGTACATGATCTTTTGTTAACTGAATAAGTAATGGGTCAAGCAACGTGACAAAGGACTTTAAGAATGCCATCCATTAACTATTCAATGCAGAGAGGCCACACATGGAACAGTATGGCTCTGGCAGTTGACGGCAAATGTGCCAAAAATGGAACGGAAACCTGTTATTAGTCATTAGTGCCGCACTGAGGGTACACTTGAAATTCAGACCAGCTGCAGTGAATGGGTTAAATGAAGTCATGTAGCAACATTACCCAAAATACATAGGATATTTCTATTGTATATGTGTTTCAAATTTAAATAAAGTACAGTAATGTAATTTGAAGTATGTACTGTATAGTTAAAACAAGGAAATGATACTGTTCAGCTTCCCACTCAGTTTGGGCCAAACACTAGGCAAACAAAAAACTAATCCTAACAAAAACATAAATAATTACAATGAATAATCCTAATGAAATTCATGTTAAGCAGTCCTTGAACCTTGCTTTCCAAGGTAATGTAAAATTACTGCACTACAAAATGGTACACAATATAACCACAGATGTTCAGACACCAGATTTTTATAAGTTTGATGACAATGACCTTCACCAATGTTCACTCTATTTTTTTTTTGCAATACAGCGGGGGAATGAATTTGTTGTATGCATCAATACCTAGGCAAAGTGTGAATATGAGCCACCAGTACAAACAAAAAAAGCTGTATACTGTATAATATATTTGTTTTAAAGTTATCGATACCACAGGTATGCAATAAATAAAAGAATATAAAAACAAGGCGTACAACAAGGTGCACTGTTTTATATGCAAAGCTGATGAAGTGTTGAACGTTTGTGCCGATACACAGCCAAGAGGGAATATTGACTTTGATAATATGAAACCAAAATTGAAGTTACCTGAAAAATGTAACTGATGATCTACCAGCCAAATTTAGTAACTGCATGATGTAGAGTAAAACTTTTCATGCAAAACCTAAGACAGAAGCTTAACCCCTTATGGAGTAGTATCAAACTTAGATATTTTATTCTAGCTAATGCCAGATGATTTTATTCAGCTGAGAGAAACTCCTACTACTCAATGGGTTAATGTATTTTCTGAGTCACAATCAACTTGACCTCCAACCCTTTAACAAGAAAATCAATAAGATAACTTTCAATATACAGTTTGTGTGGGACAAAAGTAATCATTTGGAAACCAGTTTGTTAAAATATAAAGTTCCAATAACCTTTTGGCCAAAACTAAGTAAGAGGGAAAAGTTGTTCTCGGAGAAAAGGCATCAATGAAAGACCCCCTAGGTTAGCAATACAATGATTACCTTCAAAATGTGACAAGTAACCTAAAACTCAATATGGAATTTCCCTTCATTACTGCCTTTCCCATCCAGGGCTATGCTGATGAAAGCAAAACAATCATTAAAATTCCCCATCACATGTGATGTTTCACACCCTCTTGTAAAATTATTCAAAGAAGACATTGACACCATTTTATACCTACAACCCATTTTCATTAATAAATAATTTAAATTTGTCTTCTGTTCATCTATAAATCATGTCAGAAACAAATGGACATTGTACAGGGTATTCATCATAGTAAAAATGCACCCACCTTCATTATGCAAATCAGTAACAACTTGTTCATAATCTTTGATAACTTCCTCAGGTGTGCAGTCCTCTTTAGCACTGATTATTGTCTGAAACCTTGCCTGTGAAGGACTGCCCTCCCACAAGTATCGCTCACGGTCTGCTACTTCCTTCTCATGTTCCCACGGCTCTGTTTTCTAAAGTAAATTGAAAGGGAAAACAAAATTTAAAATTTAAGGTAAAATAGATGCAAGTGCAATTTCATTTACGGATTATCAAGTGGTAAACATAACTGTAATACAATACAGTAATAATAAACAAGAAAATATTTGAACAGATATTATCATGACAGCCTGCTTAGCATTAAAATTTATAATTCAATTACCATAAAATAAAATTTTATTATTTTAAACCTATGATTGCTTCAAAATAAATACATATATCCATCTAAAAATTTGTGAACACTTTCAGAGACTGTCACTGAAAAACTTATAAGTAGTTAAGTTGGAAAAAGGTTGGGTTGCACAGACAAAAGTTTTGAGTAATCATGATGCGACATAACCTATTTTTCAAACTATACATTTCATACCTATCTACAATAATAGGTAAATTTGTTAAAACTTTCTTTCAAAACTAAAGGATTGTGGAATCTCATTTTGTGAGAGAACCTACAATTTAGCAATTCAAGTCCATAGTTCAAAACTCAGGTACTTCACACTCAATATATGCAGTGGAGACTAATCCACTCCATGACTCATGCAGCGGTACCTAGCGAGGAGGCTATTTTGAGGGGCTACGATATGATCCTCCAATTGTTATAGATATAATAGTGTACTGTATATGTGATAAAGATTCATACTGTTTACTGGAATATCATTATGGTGAAGTCTACAGACTGTAACCCCCCTTTAACCCTTATGCCCCGGGTGATGTAAGACTAGCCAAACACCCCAAGTGTGCATATTTTTTTTTATTTTTTAATCCATTGTTGAAAACTAGTATTTCAGATGTCAAAATGAGTGAAGTTACTCCAAGCATACTGTTGCTGGTGAGCATGTGGTCCCCTACGACCACAACCTCGCTGAGGGGTTGGCAGCCGTGGTGGGGAGGGGGAGTGAGCACCATTGTCTGTATCACTGTCCTCACTGCTGGCTGCCTCAACAAACTCTACATTATCTGGGTCTGTTTCCTCCCCATCACTGTCTTCACCACTCGATACTATATCAATGCCACTTAAATCAAGCAACTCTTGATGAATAATACAGTACTACTGTTGAGGGTATGGAAGGGCGAGGCAGGTCACAAGCTGTCAATACATCCACCATGATATATGGTGAGTAAATGGACCACTAGACTGAGACAAAGGTTACATGCGAGTTGAGTTGCCAAGGAAATAGATATCTTATGTAAAAGGGGAGGATTTGATAATATAGCTCCTCCCCGACTTACGACGGGGTTAGGGACTCAAATTCAGGTAATAAGTCGAAATAGTCGTAAGTCGAAAATGCTTAAATAATACATAGAAAATCTAAAATGGGTGTCTCTTTTTCTTCTCAGCACCACTTTTAAGCTTGCCAGCAATTTTAAAGTAAATTACAAATTAAAATTTTGTCTGTGTACTGACGTTGGGACTTGAAAATATGTAATTTGACAAAATTTTGGTACAACTGAGGCAGGTCGTAAGTGCAGGTGGTCGTAAGTCGAGTAGGTCGTAAGTCGGGGAGGAGCTGTATTTGAAGTTGGTGGGCATGTGGTAATCCTGAAACTAGTGAGTGTCACAGGGGTTGGCCTCTCATTCGTCTGCAATAGGAACCACATGGTAAACACATGATTGTTCATCCCCCAACTTGCTGGGAATTAGTGGTGTAATATAAGCAGGAATCTTGTGAGACTGGTAGTCTGCTGTGGAGAGCTTGGAGGGAAGCGACAAGGGGGAATTTAGAAGACTATTAATCTGGTGACCTTGCTACCTCAAGAACGGCAACAGAGAGGCCCAGCTGGTTTTGGTAGTGTGACACAACCCTGTGCATGGTGAGAACTCTCCAGTGTCTACCTAAAGTTGCTATTAAGAATCTGAGTGCGGTGGATTAGTCACAGCGCCAAGTAGCAGCCCGGTGGAAGCGTGCTGGTGGCATACACTAAGACCAGACGAAACTTATGGGAGGTACTCACCACAACAGTGTTGTTACTGAGTGACACCTGGCAAGGTACCCAGAGTAGTGTTAATAAGGGGGGATAGTCGGGTATGAGAGAGTAGTTCCTGTATGGGGGAACATTGAACGGATAATGTGGTTGTAACCTCAGTGAGTGTTGTGAGGTCAACAGTGATGGTTGTCCTGAGAGCTGTGTATGGTTGACAAAACAAAAGGTACACCAAGGAATTGCCAAGCAGTAAGCTGTATACAGTATTTGAATCAAAGTTCAGTTCGGTGATTAAATAGACTACAAGGTTGTAAATAAAGAGAGTAATATTATTCACTCTTCTGCTAACCATATTGTGCTGTATTACTGGAAGCTGTGGGGCCAATGTATGATGGTGATGCATGAATGAGTGGGCAGGAGTGTATGAGAAGTGGTGAATGGATATATTAGCCTTGTGATTTTATTTTAGGGTACAAGGCATCAATTGTATTAATTTTGTTTACTTTCATTCTGCATGTAGGATGCCAGTTATGTAATAAATCAAGTGTACAAGCTACCAGTTGCTATTAAACCCTTGCAGGAATTCAGTTGACTAGCATAAATTTTCTCTGTTAGCGAGGTGAGGCGAGTCCTGGGTTACTGTGCTTTTAATAGTTGGGCCATTTCACCTCATTACATATAAAGTACTTCATCCTGCCTGGACATTCAAACTATATTGCTCAAATTAAGGATGCAGAGGAAGGGTCACCCAAGGTCACTATGGTGGGTGTAGAGGAACATCACCCAGGGTCACTATGGTGGGTGTAGAGGAACATCACCCAGGGTCACTATGATGGGTGTAGAGGAACATCACCCAAGGTCACTATGGTGGGTGTAGAGGAACATCACCCGGGGTCACTATGGTGGGTGTAGAGGAACATCACCCAAGGTCACTATGATGGGTGTAGAGGAACATCACCCGGGGTCACTATGGTGGGTGTAGAGGAACATCACCCAAGGTCACTATGGTGGGTGTAGAGGAACATCACCGGGGTCACTATGGTGGGTGTAGAGGAACATCACCCAGGGTCACTATGGTGGGTGTAGAGGAACATCACCCAGGGTCACTATGGTGGGTGTAGGAACATCACCCAGGGTCACTATGGTGGGTGTAGAGGAACATCACCCAGGGTCACTATGGTGGGTGTAGAGGAACATCACCCAGGGTCACTATGGTGGGTGTAGAGGAACATCACCCAGGGTCACTATGGTGGGTGTAGAGGAACATCACCCAGGGTCACTATGGTGGGTGTAGAGGAACATCACCCGGGCTTTAAGGGTTAAGACTGACAAAAAATTCTTAAGGAGTTTTTATTCATGACTAAGAGTCAGAAGTTATGATGATAATTTTTAGTTATTTTTATTTTTCCACCTATCAGGCACTGCTCCTGCTGTGCAGCTGCCCCCCCCCCCTTGGCCAATGTTTGGCCCATTCCCAAGTCCCTCTCCCTGACCCATCCTCACCACTGGGATATCAACATAATCAAAAGTGACAATTTCGTTTTGGAAAGAAGTGGAATCAGTGTTGGAACAGTGATGATCAGTGTTTAAGAAAGTGAATTTCGCACTAGAGAAGTACCAGCAAGAGCCGTGACTCACCAGTGAGATAAGCACCCCTGAAAACCTACCACCATCTTCTGACCAGGCGGTGTTAATCAGTCCACCTTGGGAACAACAGTGGGCCGGCTTCACACCTGACTACGAGATAACACAACACCACCTAGCAGAGAGGGAGGTACTGTGACACCATCAAACAGCACATGGTGTCCCCATGACCATGTGGGGTCCTTCATATCAACACCCGAAGACGAGTCACTATACCACGTTGAACACCACATTACCTGATGTCTCCATGACCACGTGAGGTCCTTCATGTCAACCCCCGAGGACGAGTTACTGCACCACGTGAACACCACACCACCCGATGTCTCCATGACCACGTGAAGTCCTTCATATCAACACCTAAGGACGAGTTACTGCACCACGTGAACACCACACCAACCGATGTCTCCATGACCACATGAAGTCCTTCATATCAACACCTACGGACGAGTTACTGCACCACATGAACACCACACCACCTGCAGTCTCCATGACCACGTGAGGCCCTTCATGTCAACATCTGCGGACCAGTTACTGCACCACGTGGCCTACATGACCTCACACAGTATGGCAAGAGACCAGCTCAGTGCTATCAACTGCAAACTACAATAATTTGTATGTTCAATCCATGTTCCTTCTCCTTTTAGTAATGAAAGCTTTTGTTAAACGACCCACCTACCCCATGTCTTTGTATGTAATAAGTCATTTTTTCTTATGTATATTTTCAGTCTTCAGGCTGCAGAACTTTTTATTATTATTATGTAACAACAAAAAAATAATAAAAAAATACATATATACAGTACATGTATCTACCTAAAACTAAGTGAATACTGGGGTGTGGTTGTACACTAACTTATAATGTATCAATTTTGCTCTTTTTTGCTTTTAGTATTGTTATTTATATGCTTTTGCTATTGCTGTTTATATGCCTTCCCTTCTAAGTTTTAATGTTACAGTGTACAACTAAGGCTTCACCACAGCCAGTTATAGAGAGTTTGCTGTAAATTTTAAACCTTATGCTCCAGCTTCCATAAAATCCCTTATCTGGTATCCCCCAGCCCCAAGTATGCTGGATAAATGGTCCCATACATGTAATGTATAATTTTTCACATAAGGACTGTTAGGTCACTGAGATTTTGGGTAATGAGTAACTGAACTCCTTATTTTCTTTTGCAAAACAACTTTTCAACTTCCCAGAGCTAATGGATACTAGCCTCCAGTTGCCAGATTGAGTAGCAGCCTATTTGGAGGGTTAAACTTATACATGAGCATTATATACTGTATGTACGAAAAGATGATTAGGGAATATTGAGCAACTTTGTAACAGTTCATAGCCACTTCATAAAAAATGGTGTTGGTACAGACAGTAACTTCTCTGTATGATAGACTCAGCCAATCAACACTTGGGTGAAGGTCACTCTTTAGCTGTCTGTATAAGCCCTTACAAATTCTCATACCCAGTACTAACCATTGACTCATTGTAGAGAACTGTTAGCAGGTATTGGCAATAATCATAGTTCTGCTGAGAAAGTGGACAACGATCAGCAACAATGGTGAGGCAATCAGTGGCAGCATCATAACGATCCTTCACCAACCGAAGTAACTTGTCACGGCCGTGGTCATCAAGGTCAAGACTCTTCAGTGACACCTGTGGGATATCAATAAGTTTGCACTGTTAACAACTATTGCTTCTAAAATAGTTTCAATGGCAGCAAATCACAAGACCTCTCTCCAACAACAGTATACAGTACTGTACAGTAGTACTAAGAAAAATCACTGATGCCTGGAATATGGAACTCATCTCTCGCTGCACCTGTCAGCTGTGGTCTACCTGCACACCGTCACCCGGTGCATTACAGTCACAAGGTGATTGCACATGCTCGTGATCATGTAGCTCAACAAATATTGGTTAGTATTGGTGTAATACTGTACTTATCATTGGTGGTTTTATGTTTTTTTTTTACCTTATAGTGAGATGACATCACTAAAAAATTTTAGCAAATTATAACTCTCTTTGAGTCAGAACAACTGTTTCCTGGACTGCAGTAGTTGACAACTTAATCTCATTATTTTTATGTGGTTCACTCTTGGCATCACCCAGAGATAATTTTTGTACATAAAATATGTGCTACTGTATTTGTTCATTCTTGGCATATGCAAAATACAGAATAACAAAGGATTGGAACCTAATCCTATTTTAATATAACTCTGATAAGGAAGTTGCCAAAGCTATAACTGTATTCAATTTAGCAGAATCCTCCCTTTTGTAGAATTGGCTTGTATGCTTTATTACATTATATGGAATGATTACTATACAATATTTATTGTTTTATCATTCTTATTATGATACAAGAAAATTTATATTTGATGTTAATAGATGATGATACTACAGATTCTCATTACTGTACTATCAAGTGCCCACTGTTAACATGCCCAGTGAAGGCAGATTAAACCGAATCTCCCAAATCCGTGAATACCAGTGGACTGCAGTGGATGGCTGGGCCAAAAACAAGTGCTATCGCCGGACCCAGTGTTATCAATCAGAAGTGTAACCTTTACAATACAGGATCAATATACAGCATGCCCTTACAATTCGTGGATTTTCAATTCGCAGCCCTCGATTATTCGCGGATGACACCCTGGATGTACCCAAGAATGTCTGCGAGTAATTTTAAAGTTGCCGCATTTTCGCGGCCGGGACAAGGAGCGCACGAGTTTTGTGGCATCCTGCAAGGTGTCTCTCTTGTCCCAGGAAGCTGGCCCACACGTACTTGCTCCGCCTCAGTCCGGGATAAACACTGGTCTATCTAGCGTGTGTGCTACTCTGCTATCTTAACAACTGTGCTCCTCGTGCTTGTGATGGCTCCCAAATGCCCTCAACCACCTTCATCCAGCTGCGTGAAGGCACCCTAACAAGTGAAGAGAGAAAAGAAAGTGGAGAAGATACAACTGCTGGACAAACCTAGGAGTGGCCAAAGCTTTGCCGTGTATGGTCGAGAGTGTGGCATCAATGAATCAACTGTATGCTACATCAAGAAGAAAGAGAGGGATATTCGTAATGCCATTGCCCGAAGTGACCCCTCTTCTGCCAAGGTAGCTGCTAATGTGAGGGATATATCTATGGTGAAGATGGAGAAAGCCCTTAACATCTGGATTGAGGACTTTAACCACTGCCACATCCTTCTCAGCCAGAAGTTTATCCGCGACAAACCCAAGGTCCTGTATGACTGATTCCATGCTGAAGAAGGTACTAAAGGGGAAGTGAGTGGTGGTGGTGCTAGTGCTGGTGGTTCTGATGACACCTCAAAGAAAGGTTTTAATGCCAGTAAAAGGTGGTTTGAGAACTTCAAGAAGTGCTACAACCTGCACAACTTGAGGATCAGTGGTGAGTCAGCATCGGTGGACAATGTAGCAGCAAGGGAGTATCCTGCGATCTTTGCTGAGATTGTCCGGTAGAAGGGTTACATGCCGGAGCAGGTTTTCAATGCTGACGAAACTGGCTTGTGGTGATAGAAGATGCCAGCCAGGGCGGTCATTTCCAAGGAAGAAAAGAGTACACCAGGCTCCAAGTGGCCAAAGATTGTCTCTCTCTCCTGCTATGTGGCAACACTGCAGGACATATGATCAAACCCATGCTGCTGTACTGTGCCAAGCATCCGCGTGCACTCAAGAACAAAGACTTGCACCTTCTCCCAGTCTTCTACCGCCACAACAAGAAAGCCTGGATGAAGGCAGTGTTGTTCACCGACTGGCTTCACAATTATTTTGTGAGTGAGGTACCTGCAGGAGGGAGGCCTGGAGTTTAAGGTCCTTCTTATGATCAACAACTGCCCTGGCCACCCCGAGGCCCTCAAGGTTGCAAATAAAGAAGTTGAGGTGACCTTACTGCCCAAAAACACAACATCATTGCTCCAACCACTCAACCAGGGAGTCATTGCTGCCTTCAAGACTAAGTACATGACCCACACCGTCAGTAGGATACGGCAAACCTTGGATGACACACATAGGATGGTGCTGAGTCGGTGTGGGAAATGTGGATGAGGTTCTCCATCACAGGCTGCATCTCCTTCATCAAGCAGTGCCATGATGACCTGACAGCCCTCTGTGTTAACTCCTGCTGGAGGGCCTCGTGGTCAGAGGTGGTGAACGACTTTCCTGGCTTCCCCACAGTCAATAAGGATGTGCAGCACATTGTTCAGCTTGCCTGTCAAGTGGGAGGTGAGGGGTTCTAAAACATTCAGGAGGAAGAGGTGCAATAGGAGCTCCTGGGTCATGCTGGGAAAGAGCTGACTGAGGAAGAGCTGGCCGAACTTGTCAAGAAGTAGTGTCGTGAGGATGAGGAGGAAGAAGAAGGTGAAGTGGAGGAGGTGCCCACTGCCCACCTTAACCGTCATGATCCTCAATAGGGCTTGCTGTCTTGTAGGACAGCCGCGGACAATTTTTTCGACATCAATTTCTCTATCAAGAGATCAGTCAACTTCCAGAAAGGGATGGAGAAACTCCTGGCTGCTTATAAGGAAATACTAAAGGAGCTCAAGCACCAGGTTGCCCAGCCTCCAATCTCCATGCTCTTCTTACCTTCGTCCACTCCAAGCCCTACACCTTCTACACCTGCAAGAAAGCCTCAGCCTCCTGTTTGTGAACCTCCTCCTCCTGACTCTGATTCCGATGTGGACGACCCTCCTCCTTCCGCTCCCAGCTCTGATCTCCCTCCACTCTCCTCTGCCTCCTCTTCCGAAGCAGATGAGAACTTGTAACTCCCTTGCCTTCATCTTCATCAACATTGTCACCATCATTCATCATATTCATCATGATATTCATCAGTGGCAAGGGAGAGAGGAACATGGGCTCTCCACAAACAGCCAGCATGGAATGGTGCGTGTTAATCTATTTTTCATAACAGAGTTGTCAATTTTTTTGTGGGAATATTAATTCATTCACTCTAGTAATGATACAATGTTTCTTATTATGTTATCATTGGAAAATGAATGGTTTATATAATTTGTTTATCACTGAGCCCATACCATTTCCATTGTATGTAGACTACAAAATATGTTTTTCTCCTATACATACGCCTGGCTACGCCAGGCAACAGGAGCAGTAAAGGAAGTGAGTTTATGGGATTAACCCACCAGGGCACAGGTCAATGACCCACATCAGGGCCTGGGGTGAAAATATAATAATAATACGTAATAATAAAAATCATAATAATAATTAATAAAAAAAATTAAATACAAATATAATATATAAAATAATAATAATAATGATGACGATGATGATGATGATGATAAAAGCCAATAAATAAATGCAAAACTTAAAATAAAAGATCAACAGTGAGAAACGATATATGTTCAGTGACTGTTTTTGTTATTTAGCACGTTGTCTGCTGTTGACTCTCCTCGCTCCCTGCCATATTTCATTGGATTTACTGTTATTAATAGTGTTTACTGATAGAATAGTGCTTAACAGTGATTAATCATGGCACTGTAGCTAAGTTAGCTCATCGTCGTAATCACCAGGCAACTGGGCCAAGCTGCGAGGTGTTATGGTTTTTCAACTCGTATTTTCTGGTAGATATACGTAACTTTCTTCATTTATTTTTACTCAGTTACAAGCACAGACCATCCTACATACATATTGTGAACAAAGTATACAATATTATACTGTAATTACCAACAGCTTTCACGTTGGGTTGGCAAGATGGCTACAAAGAAATTCTGTAAGTTTGATCTAGTTATCAACCCAGCACGGAGTTGACTTGAGGGTAGACTCAAATTTTTTCTACATTTTGTTGTCTTGTTTCTTAATATTTATGAGAGGATATTCCCATTATTATTTATAAGTACAGTATGTGTTTTGTGTGCGTGTGTGTGTGTGTGTCTAAACACACACACATATACGATATGTGTATATACAATGCAGGTAAAAGAAATAATTGTCCTAAGGGCAAACACAAAGTGAATATATATTTCTTTGCACACGAGTAAAAATGCCCCCCCTCCCTCCCGCTAGCAAATTATATTCACGGATTTGGCTATTTGCAGCCATTTTAAGACCCAAACCCCCACGAATTTTTAGGGCATGGTGTACAGTATATATGTAAACAAAGGGTCAATGGTATTAGTAATTTAAAAGTTCAGATTCCCTTGTAATTACCCAAGTACTGTTACTTTATTAAGCCCTGTTTTACCTTTAATGTCACTATTCGGGCTCTTGCGTCCCTGAGGGTTGGTGAGGAGTGGAGGTATGAACTTTTAGACATTGTGACAGGAAAATGCTTCTCCTGCTTAGCTGTTGATTCAAGTCCTGATGGCCAAGGATTGCAAAATTCTGCAAAATTAAAAAGATACAATACAGTATGTAATTTACTGTAATAAATAAGAGTACTGCAGTACATACAGATGTACAGTTATCCCTCACCAACTATGGGTTTACCAACCATGGTTTTGAAAATGTGTCTGGAATACTGTACAGCAGTTGCAGTAATACTGAAAGCATGAGATGATGTAGGCATGTGGATGGTGACCATACTGACTAATACAATCATGATGGAAGGTTTTGTTCCAGACAACTGGCAGAAGAGTGTGATTGTGAATACTTACTAGGGCAAAAGTGATGCAATTGAATGTGGGAACTACAGGGGCCTGAAGGTGCTAGATCGAGTTATGAAAGTTGTGCAAAGTGTGATTGAGAAATTGATAAGGGAATGAGTAGATATAAACAAAATGTAGTTTGGGTTCATGCCAGGTAGTGGGACAACAAAGACTAATATTTATGGCCAGGTAACTATAAGAGAAATATCAAGGGAAGGAGACAAAGCTGTACTTATTATTTGTAGAATTATAAAAAGCATTTACAAGGTACCACATCAAGCAATAAATTGGGTAATGAAAAAGTTAGGGGTCGGGAAGTGCCATGATCAAGTGGTTATGGTTATGGCATTATATGAGGGTTCAAAACAGCTGTGAGAGTAAATGGTGAGGAAAGTGAGGAATCTGAGATGCAAGTCGGGGTTTCTGTTTGTCATGGTGCTGGAGGCAATACAGTTACAGGACTCCAGGATTGGTCTACCCAGGAAACTTTTGTATACTGATGACTTAGTGCTGATAGCAAATACCAGAATATTGAAAAAGCAGCAGATAATTTTAAAAACTGGAAGGAAAGAATAGTCAATGAGTTTGAGAGTGTATGCGGTGTAAACAAAAGTAGTGATTAGTGGTGTGGGTGAGGGACCCGTGGTGGAAAGTAGAAAATGGCCATGTGCTGTCTGTAAGAAAGATGTCGACAGTAACTCAATTATGTGCAGTGAATGTAGAAGGTGGGTACACAAGAGGTGTAGAGGAGTGGATTGCAGACTGCAGGATCTGTTGACTTTAAGTGTTTTGTGTATGCAAGTGGCTTTAGCACGGATGGAGAAATCCAAAAATGGGGATGTGTGACATGAGCAGTGCCAGTGGAGGTGCTGAAGCCACTCGGTGCTAGAGCCAGAGGTGGCTGGAGGAAGTTGAGGGAGTTACTCCCTTAATTGACAAGAGGATCTTTCCTAAGCATTAAAGGTAAGATGTACAGTCACAATCCAAAGTTTCTACACCCCCCCTGGCCAGGGTTGAGGTAAGGCTGGGTGATCGGATGCAGACTAGTTCAGCAATGTGGTAACGAGGCACTATGATGGTGAAGTTCACATGCCACCACAGGAAGGAACTTATTATGAACTTTGACATGGCATGAACTTGCATAACAAATGTATTCGTAACATTGTTGCCACACATAACAATAGCATGTTAAGATTGGAGCATGAAAAACTTTGCTCAGTCCCAAAACACTGGCTTGGAACCACTAGATGCAAGTCCTCGTATTACACCTGAATCATCAGGGCAGCATATATAAAGGGTGGCCGGTGACCGAATTTCGTCAAGAGGGAGTGAGCAGTCAGTCGACAAGGTGAGGTCTATACATGTAGAGATATTACCATAACCCTGGGAATATTATGGTTTCACACATACTAGGAATTCATATAGTCATGTTTACAATATTTAATGGTGTATCAGTAACTACACTGGAGTATTTTGGCTTGGAATGTTGCAATTCACATTAATCATGGTATCATCCAAACAATTTTTGTCTGGTCCGGAGCAGCAACTTTGCCGAAGACCTCGACCCTCAGCGTAGATGCCTGGCCGTGTGTCATCATTAGTAACTACTTCTTGGTCACTTGCCTTGTTTCCTGTCTACTGCTGCTTTTAGTTTTTAATTTTCACTTCATAATGTCTCGGATTATGAGAGTTATGGCACAGAGGTCACCAATATCACAACTACATACGCATATGATTATTTTTTTATTTTTCACCTGAATGGTACTACTATGATTATTGACTGTTAACATGCATCTTTGTGATGGGACTTATTCTTTGTCTGTAGTAGTGTTACAATACTTTTAGTCCATCAACACTTGATGTTTATCAATATTCATATTTCATAACTGGGTCGAGAACAGCCCAAGTTTCTCATGCCTCACTCCTAACTTGCTATTGTTGTGTGTGCCAACAATGTTATGAATGAAATTTTCTTATGCATGTGCAATTTGTGCATGTCAAAATTTTTAAAAATTTCCTTCCATGCTCGTGTGCTGTGAGTCTCGGAGTGTTGTGGTGGTGGAATGTTTGCATCCGATCACCCAGCTTTACCTCAACCTTGACCTTGGCAAACACCCAGCCAGGGGTGTCGGAACTTTGGATTGTGACTGTACTGTATATAACTGGTGTAACAAGTTTGATGTTGTATGGCAGTGAAACATGGGCAGTTAAAAAGGATAACGCGCTGGCTTAAGCGAGCTGAAATGAGAATGGTGAAAAACAGGAAATCCTATTCAGAAATAAGAGAGAGGCTGTGTTTTTTCACACAAAGTCCACCACTATATCTTTCAAAAAATTAAAAAATTATGGTAAAGAACAGATACTGGGACACTGAAAACAATGAACACTATAAAGGTACAGTAGAGAGCAAGTGTGTCTGTACATCCTAGGTTGCCATCTTGATTGCATGCAGGTAAAAATTTGTATTCTTTAAAGAAAAAAGGGCAACAAAATATGTTTCTCAAAAAAGAAAAGGAGATATGCAAATATGATTTTCGTTATAAAAAAAATTCATTTAACAAGCATATATATACTGTATTGTGGGATAAGTACATGTATAATATATATAAAAGAATAGCATGATTACTAACCTAGCCTAACCTAACTTAGGCATATATTGGTTATGTTATGATAATAATGATCGAGCAATTTTACCTTCTACTCGTATGAAATAATTTGTTAACTTTAATTTGTTTTTTAAGATCCTCAGTTGCATTTTAAGGCTTAAATGGACAATTATCTATATTTATTGTGAGAAACACACACACACATACTCGTATGTGTGTGTGTGTGTAATAGTAATAATAATAATAATAATAATAATAATTAACAGTTTATTGAAAAAATTTCTGCAGCCCGAAGGCTGTGTGTGTGTGACAAAAGACAAATGAAAATTCATCCTCCACAAACACATGAAAAACTCACACCCAAAAAATGATCTCATCACATGTAGCCAACTCTGGGAAAGGATTAAGCTATCCATCTCTCAACATGAAGCTGAAGAGAGAACTATTCCTCTAACATTATTAACTGGCAGACACTGGGGGTGACTGACAACCCTATCTGACAAGGAGTGAGTCACTCCCTCCCAAAATCAGTTGACTTACCACTGACCCTGCCCATAAAGAACCCAAGTAACAAATATGCACTACAAAATTCATTTCCACACACAGAAAATCTATATCATAATAGTTAAGTATCCCCAATTCCATATTTACCTTTTATTAATCTTTTTAATAATACAGTATACAACTACACAAAATAACACAATCATCTGCACACGGGCAACAATTCACAATTGATACATACTCTTTAACACCTCACACTGTCGTTTAATGACTGGAGGTGTCAGATGAAGGAAATTGGGAATTTTCATAAGTTCCGCATTTCCCCACTTGTCAGGTATGGGCTGCCCTTCTGCTGGGTACCCCTGGCGTACTGGGAGAGGCACTGTTGCTGGATGAAAAGTTCTCGCAGCGGGCCACACACTTCCCCAGTCTTGATCAATTTTCTGGCGTTTATATCTGTAAATTGGTTATGAATTCAGTAATGTATGGTCAGATGGTTAAATCGTCACGAAGTGAAATGTATAATATTTTCCATTTTGAATTTTGTATAACTTTTGTCATTAAAGAAACTTAAACAATAGCTGATTGTGATTCAGAGAATCAAGGTTTGGCTGACAGGAGCAGTTGGTTTACTTCTTTGCCATATGCATACGGTAACATTAATGGTAGTGCTCCATAAAGTCTAAATTGTCATGTTGAGATAGTTCATCATCATCACAGATATAGAACAAGTGTTGTTCCAAAAGTAAATGGTTTTGATAAGAGTAATTTCTTGTACAATATACTGTACATGTACTGGTAATTTTCTATGGAATGCTCTACCTACCACTTTCAATCAAACAATTTCAAACTAAAATTGTTTTTGAAAAACAACTCTAATAATTTTCATGGAGTACAATAAGTGCTCAAAATCAAAATCTGTAACTAACCAACTTTTAACTGCTAGTCTTATTTTATCTACTTTCACCTGCAGTCATTCTGAATGATCAAGAGGACCACATCTATATATGTCATAATAATAATAATAATAATAATACAGTAATACCCCGATTTACTCGGTCAATTGAACCCGCGGAGTAGCGCATAAAACGAGAAACGTGTAAATGGAATAACAGAACATTAGGGATTAATTGAAATAGAGACTGGGCCGACCCCCAAACTCCACTTTTTCAGACACAATACCTACGTTGCAGTAAAAATAGTATCTTAACTTTATGATGGTATGCACACACACATAATATAGAAGAGAAATATCAATAAGAGAATAATATACTGCACCAGGTAAAAGAAAAATCAAGGTTTAACACTTACGTAAGGTTGGGTTAGGTTAGAAAAAATCAAGGTTTGAATCCAAAAATGGCGGCGCGGCAGGACCGCCAGCCGCTCTCTGCGTATATCAGTAGATGCACCGCGTAAATTGGGCATTCCGGTTCTGGCAGGGTACCGCGTAAATGACAAAACGCGTAAACGAAACCCGCGTAAACCGAGGTATTACTATAATAATAATAATAATAATAATAATAATAATATTAAAAATAATAATAATAATAATAATATTAAAAATAATAATAATAATAACAATAATAACAATAATAATAATAATTAACGGTTTATTGAAAGAGCATGGCAGCCGGAAGGCTGAAAATATACAGTTACATAATTGGGGAAGGGGTCTCTTGATTTACAAATAATATACAAGTGACATCAGTAATATAAATATGATATATAATAACTAGGTGGGGAGAAGCTCAAACTACAGGGCATTTTAACATGGTGACAGTGCAAAAAGTAAGATTGACTGGGAGTGAATACACTAGTTGATAACAAGTTATTGATAATTTTTACAATGGTTGGGACAGGGCTGTTCTTTTAGAGGTGCGTGGGTAAATGCATGTGTATGTGTCCCAAAGGTGGGAATTTGCAGTTAGCTCAGTAAGGGCCACTCCCAAAGTTGGAGGGGGGGGGCAACCCCCCACCTAAAAGTGATAGGGTAATTAATACAGTACAGTGTACATGGTAGTGTAGAGGGGGGGGAATCGGCCCACAAGAGCTGACCCCCCTAAAAGTTATTGTGCAGTTGATGTAGTGAAGGTGATAGTGTTGTGGGATAGTGGGGGTTATAGCTACCCTCAAAAACAAACCAAAGCAATGCTGGGTTTCCCAGAAAAGAAGTGTTACTAATACTTTATGTACTGCATATATTATCCTTGGTGACCGTTTATACTGTACATGTGGGCATGTATGAATTTTTACCCTATACAGTACTGTATGGCTAATTAAATCAAATCATTTCAGTTGGTTAGGTTTTAGATCTGTTTTGTTTTGTTAGGTCACAGTAATCACAGACAAAATGTCTACAGGCCACTACATCTAAAAGCACAGAGTATACCAAAGATTTGTAACAAGTTTTAGGGAGAAAATCTGTTGGTTTGGAAAATTCACTAGTCTGGAATATCTCTGGTATGAATCTTGTCTAACTATCAGGAGGCAAGTGCACAGACACTGAGCCTTTGTTCCTAAAATACTTGGGTATCTCAGGTCAGGCTGTCATCAAAAACAGATGTAAAACCTATGTAATATATCATATTTTACACACCTGGGAGGAACAATATTCGGAGTTCTCATTATCCTGGCAGCTCGTCGTTCTTGTTTCTTGATTCCCAATTCCAAAGTGCGAAATTCTTCATCGTCTGAGGCAAAAGAAAGTACAGGTAGAACCAGTAAATACAGTATACTGGACATCATAAAAAAATGTACAAGTACTTTGAGCACAGGATAGAGTACTCAACATGAGAGCCAAAACTGAAAATCCACCAAAATTAATAAATTATATTTGGAAAGCTAAAGCATTGAATTTTACAAACCAATATAGAATTCCGTGGTTGTCCTTTTTTCAATTCTAATCCATTGCAACTTTCCTACTTTTTTCCTTAGAGTATACAGTATATCATAACCATATACAGTACTGGAGAAAACATAGGCTATTACAGGGTATGCCACAAATCTAAATTGTATGCTGGGGTTGGCGTACGAACCTAAATTGTGTGCCAGATGAGTACCATAGATTTGCGCCAGAAATGAAGGTCAAATTCAGAACACACCAAAAACAATTGGAAAAACATAGTTTCAACTTCGATTTCGTACAATGGCAACAAGGGAAATTTTACCGTATTTTCAAGATGTCTCCCTTATGCAATGGCTGTGATTTCAATTACTTTCAAGCCACAGGTTAGGTTATATCATATTTTGAATGCTTCTGGCCTTCATTTCTATCACAAATTACAACTTTTTGTGATTTTCCCCCACCCAAAACCCCTGGTTCCCAATGGGGGTCCCTGTTGTCATTGGATAAGGGAGGGGGTTGCTCAAAAAGTATTGATTTGCGGTAAAAATGAAAGTCAGAATTTTTCAAAACATATAAAAAACACCGGAAAAACATAAGGATCACCCCACCCCACCCCGCCCCACCTGAAGAATCATCACCCCGCCCCATAATATAGATAATATTGCAAGATACTTAACTCGATATTCAAAAATACACAATGCATATTACAATGAGTAGGTTAGGTTAGGCCTGAAGATTAACCACCATGGAGGGTTCTGACCCCACCTGAAGAATAGTCACCTGAGGTTTTGCCACCTGAAGAATTGTCACCCTGTCAAACTCTGGGGTGATGCTTCTTCAGGTGATCCAAACATAATTTCAACTTCCAAATAGGTGGATAATTGCAACGATAATTTTGCACACACAAAAAAAGGTAATTATTTGTTTTAGCACACCCTCGATTTTTTCATGAGATGTAAGTCATCATTGATAAAAAACGGCTATTTTCCATCAAAAAAAAAGGTGAGATCTGAACAAAATACATCCAAATACATCAGAAACCATACATCTAGACCCCTAATTTTCACTAAATTAACCTACCTTAACCGAACCTCGCCAACTCCCGCAGGGAGCCCTAACCCCAGCTCGCGGTGGGACAAGAAACGGAGGGTGGAGATTTTTTATTTAATTTCTTAGACATTCCTCACTTGCACGATTTTTTCTGAAAGAAACTCGTTTCCAAGAGGCTTCAAGGGTTGATGAATGTATATATGATGTAGAAATTTCCTAAAAGTAAGTGTTTCAATGCGATTTGAAGATGTACTAAACCAAATAATAACAAAAAACACCATACAAACCTTAAACTGACCTAACCTTTCTACACTTGCTCCTTCTCACAGGTCACTCTTGTCAAATATTACCGATGCTGATTATCGCAGGTTCAAGTTCCAGAGTCATATCTTACAATCCTACAATCAAGACTTAACGACAGCTGCTGTAAATTACTACCCAAATATTTATAACATTTCAGAAAAAAATACGATAATATAAATGATCACTGAGGTGCCTCGAGGGCCAAGTGTTACAACAAAACCCATAATTACCGGTTATATTTACCTGCAACCTTTATTTCACCAAAAGCAGATAACGAGGTGTGTAATTTACAAGAACCTGGAATACACAGTAACTGTCGAACTCTAAAGTCAGTCAAAAGTCTTGGTTTGAGGGCCATCATCTACGGTACTCAGCCACAACAACACTGACCGCTGATGCTGAAACACTGACGGAGTAACAGTAAACACTTACAACGAGCAACAGTCACAAACACTACACTGAACATATAACTGGCAGCAATACAGGTGAACATATAACTGGCAGCAATACAGGTGAACATATAACTGGCAGCAATACAGGTGAACATATAACTGGCAGCAATACAGGTGAACATATAACTGGCAGCAATACAGGTGAACATATAACTGGCAGCAATACAGGTGAACATGAGAGCGGTGCAAGGGTGAACACATTTGAATTGAATTGAATTGATGTGGCGGTCGACAAAGTTAAGAAGAAAACCAAGAAATTCAAGACGTGGGTTGGGTCAAATGATGAGCAGGACAGGAGGATGTATGCAAGAGCCAAAAACCAAGTAAAGATAGAATGTAGAAGGGCTGAAAAGAAGTTCCAGAGGCTGGTTGCAAGCGAGGTTAAGTCAAACCCAAAGGCGTTTTACCGCTATGCAAAGTCAAAATTAAAAACGCGAGTAGGAGTATCAGACTTGAGGCTTGAAGATGGTAGTTAAGCAAATTCCGGGTGACTAATTCAGACGGGAAAGTACCTCACTCTTGAAGTTCGTTACAAGGGATTGGCCCAAGGATAAGATACTGTTTTAGTCCTTGGATAGACCGTCTAGATATCTGAACGTTGGGATATATGGTACGCCTCCTTAGTCCCTGTTGATAAGACAGGTGATGCACCTCTTCCACTTCATGACATTGAATCTTAGCAACTATTTTTTCGACCACTCTTGAAGCTAACAGAGATCTTTCTGTAGCTCTTCACAGTCTGTTTGGTTCTTATTTCACTGAATAACTTGTCATCGTCCGCAAACAGTTGTATGGAGGAGTGCATAGCTTCTGGTCATGTCATTTATGAAGCAAACAAACAACAGCGGGTCTAGTACACTGCCCTGTGGTACCCCGTTTGTCACGGGTACACAAGACGATTTCGTACCATTAATCACCACACACTGCTTGTAGTCACAAAGAAAGTCTCCAATCCACTCTAGGCCACTTCCCCGAATCCCGTACCCTTCCAGTTTAATGCTCAACCTTTCATTGGGTATGCTCTCGAAATTCTTGGCAAAATCTAAGTAAATATTGTCGATATCACTACCCTGTTCCAGAATTTGAGTCCAAACATACAGCACCTTCAGTGATTGTGTTAAGCAGGAGCGCCCCGGCATAAAACCGTGATGGCAATCCTTTACAAAGTTGTTTCGTAGTAGATGGTCCACCATGGCATCTCTTATAATGCTCTCTAGTACTTTGCACACTTTACTGGTCAGGCTCACTGGTCTATAATTATTCGTGCAGTGACTATCGCCCTTCTTGAATATAGGACTCACATAAGCCATTTTCCAGTCACCGGAGGCCTTTTGCTCATCCAGGCATTTACAGAACAGGGTCTTCAGGGGCTCAGTAAGCTCGTTACACAGCTCTCTTGGCACTCTGGGATGCACCATGTCCATGTCAGGGCCCGGACTCTTTTGAACCTTTAGCTTTGACACTTTATTTCTTTTACCCTCTTCTGAGAACACAATGTGGGTCAGGACTGTGTCAAACCGTCTGTCCTCAAACACAGGAAGAGTGTTCGTATCATCTCTTGTGAACACCGAAGAACAGAATCTGTTCAACGCCTCCACCTTGTCCTGGTCAGAATCAGCTTAACTACCATCTTCAAGTCTCAGGTTCTATACACCTACTCGCGTTTTTAATTTCGACTGCGCGGTGGTAAAACGCCTTTGGATTTGACTTGACCTTGCTCGCAATCAGCCTCTGGAACTCATTTTCAGCTCTTCTACACTCTTGGTTCCTGGATATTCATCACTTGCCCTAATCCACGTCTCGAACTTCTGAGTACAGTATTCTTAATTTTGTCGATCGCCGCATGCTTCATGTATAGCAGTTTCCTTGCATTTCTGGAGGCACGGGGTTTGTTGGTCTTGGGTATATATACTTATCGATCAAATGGTTCACTTTCGGCCGAAATAGCCAAAAGGCGAAGTGGCCTTTCCCAAACAAGGCAAGGTCAATTTGCTTTCAAACAGTTGCCTATTTGTAATTCAGTTTGTTTTATAAATCATCTTTTAACTCTTGACTTATTCTCAGCTAAATCATGTTATACTCATTTCTTCATTTTCTCATTATTACTGCTAATAGTATTACTTCTGCAAATTTGATCACTGTTTCAAGAAACATTTAATTCTGTGCCTCATCTGTGATGTAATTTTTCACTTGTTAAAAATTTTGATGAACTCTTTTATCTTTTTAATGTTTGTTTGAACGACTAATGTTTCCAACAACACTGATAATTTAATTGATCAACTGAATACTGATATCAAATGGTTGTATATTTTGGGGGGGGAATAACCAAGAATTATGACACTGAAAACGATGAATTTTAGAAATTGCATTTCAATAACTAACAAAGATAGTACATTGATTTGATGATGCCTACTGTTTATTATGGTAAATTCAAATAACTTAATCGCTTTACTATTTAGATACTAAGAGACAGTACTCTGTAAAGTTAACGTCAATAATCAAACATTTTTTGCCTTCACCAAAATGGTGGACCGATTGGGATGGGAGCTACTACGCAAGCTCGCCCAGTATCCACTGCCGAATTTGTGATTTTAACATTTATCTACTACATTGTACTTTCAATACAAAGGTGATGAATTTCACCAATTAATCTACTGAAATTCATGTTATTACCAATAACTATTGAATTTTATAGTATATTTGTCCATAATTTTTGAAAAATGTTAAATATACCTGCAATTCTTCTTACTATTTTCCTTATTATAGCGATTGAACATACCATTTTACGCCAGGTACTGATATTTTATCATTTAAAGTCCCTGTAAAGTATTTTCTTGTGTGTTGGGGTTATTTAGGTGGTTGTTGGAGCAGGTTAGTCATCCCGCACCTCAGAGGGACACAACAGCGTCGGGCAGCAATCGGCTTTGTTGTTCAAAATGGCGTATACAGACGACTCGCTATAAAGAGTGTAGGAAATATATTTTCAATCAATTTTCAAGCTTTAAGCCCGTGAGGTATGTCTTTAGATATGTTAGTAGCTTTTAATGAAAAGTGCGAGTATGTTAAAATATATTTTACAGAAGAGCAATGTTTTAAAGTTTCCAAAAAGTGTATCGGCGTCTGTGCAATTGGTCTTGTGGTGAGGATTGCCGTCAGCCATCATCTCCCCAGCCCAAGCACCAACCCCGTGCGCCCATCTGCTTTGTGTCATCGTACCTTCCACGTAGTGCTGTCAACTCGCCTTCATTTAGAAAGGATTTACATATATATTTTTTTTCAGTTTGGAGTCTGGACAGAAAAGTGTGCCTAGCAACTGGTGAGAGAAGATGGGGAGACGCTGGGGTGGGTGGCTGGCTGGCTGGGTCGCTCCACCATCACTGACATCGGGGAGGCAAACGCTCACTATACCACCACACTTAAAACACCTATCTAACTACCTAGGGATGTTAGTATGTCAGAACATGAGTATGTTTTCTGAATAGCTTTGACTTGTGCTAATTGTGTTTTAGGAAGGGGATCTGTACCGTAGAGGTGAGGGACTATGAACAAAGGTTTGGCAATTTCTGAAGGATTAATTTTGGTGTCACTCCCTCACTTATTGCAATGGGAACTATTAGAGACTTTCTAAGTTAGTGCTCTACCTGCTGCACCAGTAAGGAAAAAAAAACATTGAGTAACCATTAACTGTCACCTGCATGTAGCATTGTTTACTGACAGTTGATAAAATAGTTTCTGAGCTATCTTGCAGACTAGGTGAATTATCTCAGACTGTCTTACCAGAATGTTGGCATTTAAATTTTTTTGGCGGTTATTCCATATAAGGGTAAATTAGCACCATATTTAACACATGCAATTTGTAGTTATGAAGTTGAATAAATTGGTGGATATTACAGTTGAGGGTTAATGATACAGTAAAATTAACAATCCAAGAACTTTAGTGTACCTTGTGATGATTGACAAGGCTACTGCAGTGCTCACTAATGCACTAATTATAGTTGGTTATTCTGGTTTTGCTGACTGGGGCAACCAATGTAGTTGGAGTTAATAATGTATGCCTCGATTGTTTTGTTTTTAAGACTTGAGGTTCTTACAATGATGCAAAGGGCAGCACAGTGTTTATGCTTCATGTTACAAATGATATACACTTAAAACAATGTCTGTTCCTCTGCTAAAAATAACTTGTCATTTTAGTCACCATGCACACATAAAGGTTTATATAAAAATGTACATACAGTTATACATTCTCTTACATTCAATCACCTTTACACACACACAGTCTTATGCACTTACCCGTACTCTACATATTCAGTACGTATAGCATTGCTCACCACTGACAAATTTGGCACTGCATACAATGGTTGTTTTGGTGTTCCTATGGGTAAGGTATGGTTCCAACTTTAAATATAACTTATAATGCAAATACGTGGATCATTGAGAATTTTAGTTTTTACTTTGCTGGTACTGTATAGCACAGTGATGTATAATTATAGTTCAATAAAAAAATGACACCTTGGACATAGATTGGGAAGGACAGTGTAATGTATTTTGTTTGTAAATTTGATAATTATTCCACAAACACCAGTGCCTGAATTAGCTGGTGTTTGTGGAATAATAGCTGTAATCACTAATGGTTCATGGACAAGCTAAGAAGTAAATGTTAAATTTTTTGGGATCATGTGAAGATTAGGCATCTAACTTACTTCTCCTTAAGATTAACCACCCTAACACAAACCTAACCTCATCTGAAGTAACTAGAGATGCTGCACAGGATAGCAAATTTTACTATCTAGCCAGATGCCGGATAGACCGGATATTAAGAAAAATATCTGGAAGAATATCGGATAATTAAGGCTATTGATATTGAAACCGTTAATTAGCCAGAAAATCTGAATATAAAATTGTTACTATAAAATTGAGGTTCCCTCTCCCCTGCATGTCCCACATTTTCTCACATACACCTGTTCATAGAAATCTTAGGAAAACTGTCAAAATCTCTAAAATAACAAATAAGTCAAACGTTAGATCATAATACTGTACACACACTGAAAGTTCTCAATTAGTGATAGTGTAATTCGAGTTTCATTGCGGAGAGTCACACACAGTCAGTCAGTACTGCCCAACATGATAGAGTGGAGGTAGCACTTACATCAACGCACAGGAGATAGCACTGAGCATAAATGATACAGGAAGGTAGCACTCTGCTAATGCTCACCCCCTCACTCCCCTGGATGCTTTGCTGCTGTTTATCACCATATTTTCTACTGACATCATAAATAGTTAAAAATAATTAAGAGGCATCTCACCAACATTTGTAGAAAGGCAGAACACTGCCAAGAGAATAGGCAACTCTGAAACCCTCTCAGATTTAAGATACCCTGTAATACCCACAGGGGGGCGGGGCAGGAAATCCTTTGAGAAAAATTAAATGTTTCACTACAAATGGACATTGAAAAGATAGTGATATCAGATGCAATAAAAAAATAATATAAAAGTACTGTACAGTATACTGTAGTGAACTCAAACGTGGTGGAGGAGGTAGAAAACCTATAAATTTTTTCTCATTTTTTTAAATGGCAGTGATGTTGTTAGTGATGATATCGTCTTGTCATTTTAAAATGGCAGTGATGCTTAATGGGAAGAAGACAAAATGCTGTACTCTATCGAAGGTGATTACTTGTTATAGATTTGAAAATAAGATCTTAGATGATTATCCTTCTTCAATCCGACACTGGCTTGTAAAGCATTGCTTGGGTGCCTAAACTTCACATGATGTAATAATTATTATAATATCTGACAGCACATGCACATACAGACACACATGCAGCAGAAGGAAAAGAAGACTTTAGGCTTAAGGATAATAAGAGCAGTAATATGGCACTTCAATTCCCTACTGTACATTCTCACCCTTTTTCAGACAGTCACTATAGATAATATCTGGTAAATATGTATCACTGACAGTCTTCTCACAAAGAGTTGATGATTTATATTCCATGTGACCTTGTGTTTCTGTGGTCATCACTCCTATTAAATTGTATATGTTTGTCTATGAATGAGTATTTTTTTGTGTGTGTAAAAGTGTATTAGTGTTTTGTGTGTATTCATATACAGGAGAGCTTCATTTTGAAATTCACACGCGGTGTGTCCGCTTTTGGTAAATCCAATGAAACTCCCCAATTTATATACTTGTGTAAATCGCACCATTTCTTTTTTTTGTAGCATTCTGTACTGAAATTGTAGTGCAGGTTAGTGTGTGGCAATGTTTCTGTGTTTATACAGTATATACTGTATAGTACTGTATGGTACTTGCAGGTATAGTATGCAGATACAGTGTCCTCAATCTAACACAATTGCCCAGAGGGTCGCTCATAATCAATCCATTGTTTCAATGGGATATTGGTAATTGGTTCCAGCTCACAAAAAGTACATACAAAGGAAAAAAATGCAGTAAAAGTACACTTACTTTGAGGTGTATGTAGAAGGCTCTGGTTGATGATGATGATGGGAATTAGAAGTGGGGTGGAGGAGAAGGGAGAAGAAGGGGATGGAG